TTGGCCCAAATTTCGCATTTTTGATAAGGGGACCATCATCAAAATTTTCAAAAATCGGCCAAAAATGAAGTTTCCCAGATTTGAATGCAGACCAATTGGGAATCATGGCAATCAAGTTACGAGCCCTACGAGGTATTACATTCCTCATTTGGACCATTTTTGGCTGTGCTATGGGCAAAGAACTGATTTTTTTGTGCCCAAAATTATGCTACGGTTTTTGGCAGCATGGAGCCCAGCTTTTTGCCGTTCCTTAGCTCTAACTTTGTCAAAACAAGCCGCATGGCTAAGGCAGTGACTGTTTTATGCAGCTAACTACCGAAACTTAACACCCCTATACTTACTTTTTGCGTTATTGTTCTGGCTTTTCGGTGCGAGCTCTGTTTTAAGGGCTGAAAAGTCAGGAAACAACATTATTTTCGGCTTTTTAGCTCTAGCTCGGCCAAAACAAGGCGCACAGCCAAAAGAACGACTGTTTTGTGCTGCTAACGACCAATACTAAGTACCCCTATCACTCGATTTTCGATTTTGGAAAATCAATTTTGGCCCAAATTTCGCATTTTTGATAAGGGGTACCATCATCAAAATTTTCAAAAATCGGCCAAAAATGAAGTTTCCCAGATTTGAATGCAGACCAATTGGGAATCATGGCAATCAAGTTACGAGCCCTACGAGGTATTACATTCCTCATTTGGACCATTTTTGGCTGTGCTATGGGCAAAGAACTGATTTTTTTTGTGCCCAAAATTATGCTACGGTTTTTGGCAGCATGGAGCCCAGCTTTTTTGCCGTTCCTTAGCTCTAACTTTGTCAAAACAAGCCGCATGGCTAAGGCAGTGACTGTTCTATGCAGCTAACTACCGAAACTTAACACCCCTATACTTACTTTTTGCGTTATTGTTCTGGTTTTTCGGTGCGAGCTCTGTTTTAAGGGCTGAAAAGTCAGGAAACAACATTATTTTCGGCTTTTTAGCTCTAGCTCGGCCAAAACAAGGCGCACAGCCAAAAGAACGACTGTTTTGTGCTGCTAACGACCAATACTAAGTACCCCTATCACTCGATTTTCGATTTTGGAAAATCAATTTTGGCCCAAATTTCGCATTTTTGATAAGGGGGTACCATCATCAAAATTTTCAAAAATCGGCCAAAAATGAAGTTTCCCAGATTTGAATGCAGACCAATTGGGAATCATGGCAATCAAGTTACGAGCCCTACGAGGTATTACATTCCTCATTTGGACCATTTTTGGCTGTGCTATGGGCAAAGAACTGATTTTTTGTGCTCAAAATCACGTATACGTTTGTTGACAGCATGGAGCTCGGCTTTTTTGCCGTTCCTTAGCTCTAACTTTGTCAAAACAAGCCGCATGGCCAAGGCAGTGACTGTTTTATGCAGCTAACTACCGAAACTAAACACCCCTATACTTACTTTTTGCGTTATTGTTCTGGCTTTTCGGTGCGAGCTCTGTTTTAAGGGCTGAAAAGTCAGGAACCAACATTATTTTCGGCTTTTTAGCTCTAGCTCGGCCAAAACAAGGCGCACAGCCAAAAGAACGACTGTTTTGTGCTGCTAACGACCAATACTAAGTACCCCTATCACTCGATTTTCGATTTTGGCCCAAATTTCGCATTTTTGATAAGGGGTACCATCATCAAAATTTTCAAAAATCGGCCAAAAATGAAGTTTCCCAGATTTGAATGCAGACCAATTGGGAATCATGGCAATCAAGTTACGAGCCCTACGAGGTATTACATTCCTCATTTGGACCATTTTTGGCTGTGCTATGGGCAAAGAACTGATTTTTTTGTGCCCAAAATTATGCTACGGTTTTTGGCAGCATGGAGCCCAGCTTTTTTGGCGTTCCTTAGCTCTAACTTTGTCAAAACAAGCCGCATGGCCAAGGCAGTGACTGTTTTATGCAGCTAACTACCGAAACTAAACACCCCTATACTTACTTTTTGCGTTATTGTTCTGGTTTTTCGGTGCGAGCTCTGTTTTAAGGGCTGAAAAGTCAGGAACCAACATTATTTTCGGCTTTTTAGCTCTAGCTCGGCCAAAACAAGGCGCACAGCCAAAAGAACGACTGTTTTGTGCTGCTAACGACCAATACTAAGTACCCCTATCACTCGATTTTCGATTTTGGAAAATCAATTTTGGCCCAAATTTCGCATTTTTGATAAGGGGTACCATCATCAAAATTTTCAAAAATCGGCCAAAAATGAAGTTTCCCAGATTTGAATGCAGACCAATTGGGAATCATGGCAATCAAGTTACGAGCCCTACGAGGTATTACATTCCTCATTTGGACCATTTTTGGCTGTGCTATGGGCAAAGAACTGATTTTTTGTGCTCAAAATCACGTATACGTTTGTTGACAGCATGGAGCTCGGCTTTTTTGCCGTTCCTTAGCTCTAACTTTGTCAAAACAAGCCGCATGGCTAAGGCAGTGACTGTTTTATGCAGCTAACTACCGAAACTTAACACCCCTATACTTACTTTTTGCGTTATTGTTCTGGTTTTTCGGTGCGAGCTCTGTTTTAAGGGCTGAAAAGTCAGGAAACAACATTATTTTCGGCTTTTTAGCTCTAGCTCGGCCAAAACAAGGCGCACAGCCAAAAGAACGACTGTTTTGTGCTGCTAACGACCAATACTAAGTACCCCTATCACTCGATTTTCGATTTTGGAAAATCAATTTTGGCCCAAATTTCGCATTTTTGATAAGGGGTACCATCATCAAAATTTTCAAAAATGGGCCAAAAATGAAGTTTCCCAGATTTGAATGCAGACCAATTGGGAATCATGGCAATCAAGTTACGAGCCCTACGAGGTATTACATTTCGCATTTGGACTATTTTTGGGTGTGTTATGGCCAAAGAACTGATTTTTTGTGCCCAAAACTTTGCTATTTTTTTGTTTATTTATTTTTTGCTTTTTTTTCAGTTTCTGAGTTCTTACTTTGTCAGAACAGAACCCACAAAAAAAATGATGTGTAGCTTGTGATCATTATAGTTTTAATATATATGTAATACTTAAAATTAAGTCTACCAAATTATTCTTTGTTTTGTTTTTTTTTGCAGGCCTCTCAGCAAATGCGGCGGGGTCGTCGCGGATGACAATGATGAGATGTCGGAGGTGCAGCGCAATGCTCTGTTCACACAATAACTTTTTACGAATGGGTCAGTTGGCTACTGCTTCCACCTTAAAATTTGAGGTGATATAACCCAAATTCCATTTATACAAGCGATGGATGCACCCGCCTATACAACCAACGGAACCAGCAATAAAAACTTGTATAAAAATTTATGAAAATAAAAATATACGAATAAAATTATAATTTACCAAATTTTTTAATGGGTTTAGGTTATAATTAATTAATTTACTAATCGACACCATTCAAAATTGTGCATACTCTTGGGCTGCAAATAATATAGCACAGAATATATTCAAATTTCCAATTAAAAAAATAGCACGCTTTTGGGCATCAAAATAACCAAGAATTTTAATACGTAGCAAAAGAACAAGGCGCACAGCCAAAAGAACGACTGTTTTGTGCAGTTAACTACCGAAACAAGTTTACTTTTAGGCATCTGGTCAATCCACCTAAGGCATTTAAATTTTTATATTACGTGCACTTAGGCGCTGCCAGATTTCAATATTTTACATTTGTGGTGTTTACTTTTGGGCATTTGGTCAATCCTCTCAAGGTATATGCATTTTATATTGCGTGCATTTAAGCGCTTGGTGATTTTCATATTTGCAGCATCCACCTACTGACATTTCTGTTCGCCTGGTACTCCACATCCAAATTTCAATCCAATCGATGGCTCTGCGGCCACAGCTCGACAGCCAAATTCTCGATTTCTACCAGGCGAACAGAATCAGTAGTAGGTGTCTGCTGAGATTTAGAAAATATTTTGTTTTGATGACGTCAGCATAAAAGAGAACCGTTGGTTTAAAAACATAATAGCTCGACAGCCAAATTCTCGATTTCTACCAGGCGAACAGAATCAGTAGTAGGTGTCTGCTGAGATTCAGAAAATATTTTGTTTTGATGACGTCAGCATAAAAAAAGAACCGTTGGTTTAAAAACATAATAGCTCGACAGCCAAATTCTCGATTTCTACCAGGCGAACAGAATCAGTAGTAGGTGTCTGCTGAGATTCAGAAAATATTTTGTTTTGATGACGTCAGCATAAAAAAGAACCGTTGGTTTAAAAACATAATAGCTCGACAGCCAAATTCTCGATTTCTACCAGGCGAACAGAATCAGTAGTAGGTGTCTGCTGAGATTCAGAAAATATTTTGTTTTGATGACGTCAGCATAAAAAAGAACCGTTGGTTTAAAAACATTGCGCAAATTAGTAATGGGAAACCATGTTGTTTTTTTGTACGTGTCACGAATTAAGAACGTTAGGCACGAAATATTAGCCAGCTCCCATACATTTGATTAGATCGTGCCGAAAATAAGCAGTCACGCTCACATCTCAATGCAAGCGTTGATTTTATCGTCGTCCACCTACTATTCGCTTCTGTTCGCCTGGTATTTAAATCCGAAAGTGTTGTAATTTCTATGGGAGAAGTTTGATGATGATGGAATGGGGGAGGGCAGGGAAGGGAAAAATAACAGTTTGTTATTGGTATCAAGAGGGAAAAGTTAGTATTTCTTAAGTTTGTGTTTATTTATATTTCATAAAATTACATTAAAATCAAAAGCTCAGCCTACATTTTATTTACAACAAATGTTGGGCTTTTAAAGAGTCCTTGTTAAGCTTTCTAACATGTAATCAAGTTCAGCAGTTTCGAAGTTTTCGTCCTTCAAAGCTTTTTCAAGCTTTGGGGTTGTGTTCATGGTAATCCTTAGTGCGACTTACCACCATTGCGAATCGGGAAATGAATAAAATTGTGTCCATGCTGCAATATCCTTAGCCAGTTACATAGTTTAAGCTCTTCCAAATGGCTTTAAAGGCAAAAGCATGTCCCCAGGACGAAACTGTTTGGGGATGTTTTTTAGAAAAGGGTTCCAAGTTTATTCATATATATTCATATTATGTGAGGGATTAATATCCAGGCAGCCTGAACAAGGTATGAAGGGGATCTGGTCCAGCGCCAGATCCAGCTGCGACCTGGGCGGGACCGATCATCTGCGTCTGCATGGTATAGGATACAGGGTATAGGGTACAGAATGGGTATAGGGTGTGTAAAGTGGGGCTGAGTACATCCTTATTGGGGTTACAGTAGGGGGTTTGGTTATCGTATTATCTTTAGAGTAATTTGTTGCTGCGTCTGTATTAACTTGCAGTTGCCTTTTCTCTGTATTGCTAAGTGCCGGACATAACGTCCGGCATACTCGGGCGCTGCGGTTCTACTACTTGCTAGTGTAAAGGTTCTCCGTCGAAATAATCCTCGTAAGCATAAGTTATACTCTATATAATCTGCACTGCACCTGTCGTGCACGTAAAATAAGTCAAAATGGATACAAAATGGGTACGAGTAGGTGGCGACGTTCTGAATCATTATCAATTTGCTTGTTTTCTTTTTTTTTTTTTTGTGTATAAATTAGTAACTATTTAAAATTATATACATTCATGTACTTACAATATTATATAGTTATCATGCCTGTCTGTACAAAACGTCGCCGGATAGGTTTTTCGTTTAACTTTTCTCTTTTCACATGTCTCTCCTCACTATCAATTTTCATGTATTTCCTTTGAGTGCAAGTTCACATAAATTCAGTCGTGATTCAATTGATTTCCTTAAGTTGATATCTTTGCTTTGCTTGTTTTACTAAAATAAAGCTCAAGGTAGTAAAACCGGGCCTACACAAAACGGAACACACACCTGATCTTTCGCTCGTTTCAACAGTTCAACGGAGGCAGCTTTGCGGCTCTACAAATTCCGGGGTATACGGATGCACAAGACCTGTGCGACTCCTGCTTGGGTTTCGGTATCGGACACGTAAATGCAGCTCGAACCTAGTGTATGGTGCTGTAAGTTAGTTGCTTAACCAAGGGAATCGCGACTGCTCCAGCGAAGTGTCCGCTGTGTCGTCAGGGTTGTTATTGTAAGCACGATAAAAACTACTAAGACTAACCCTACAAACTCCCGCTAAATGTGTATATACCTAGCTTATTGAGTGCCCCAGCAGCCCAGCAGCTGGGATGGAGGATCCTCTGCTAGATGTCTGGCTGACTGGCTTACTGGCTGGTTTACGCGTGCCTCTTTAAGCGAAGCAGAAGCTCGAAGCTTAGGCGTAGGCTGAAACAGCCGCCTGGCTATGGCTACAGGGCGCAACGAAGCAGGGGCTTGTTTTTTCGTATCTCTCGTATAGTCTGGTCTATCTGGTTTACTACAAGTTGAACACATGTACGCCCGCACACACTCCGTACAGTGCCGCTGCGGTGCCGCACTGTCCTACAGTGCTGCAGTGAGCCAAGCGCTAAAAACGGCCACGAAGGCGAGAATCGAATCGCAGTGGTACCTGTTAACTTTGTCTCGAATGCAAATGAAGCGTAGTCTCCCTGCGGGCTCTGCTTGGGTGATCTTCCGGCTGATCTTAGTGCGTGATTTATGGCTGAGTCTGAATCTGATCTCGTGTGGTCGTGTGTAGTATCCTGTGTGTTGGTGTGTCGTGGGTGACTGTTCTGCTGTGCAGTGGCTGGCTGATGTGGTGGCTGTGGCTCTGGCTCTCCTTGGCTGCGTCCAATTGGTGTTGGGTCGGTGTGGCTGATTGTGTTACTGTTTGGGAATGAGTTGTTTGTTGATGACGGGGAGTTCGGATCATATTTCAAGGGTGGTATGAGAATATAAAGCGCGTTTAAATTCCAAGACTGCAATTAAACAGAAAGAGATAGAGCATAAGTCACAGACAAGGGAGAAATTTCACTAAAGGCCTAGATTATGCGAGTCTCCTATGTACAAATACAATCTACATTTAATAATATTGTGCGTTGCTAAAAAAAAGCGCAGTGGACCCAGGGTCCACTATCCGTTCCGCTTTTACATAAAGTACATGTATGCATGTCGGTCATCGTTTTGCTGTCAAAAACTCGGTTCCGATGCCTTATGGCCACAAGACCATGTTCGTCGAGCGCCAGGTAACGGTAACAGCACACCCAAAACCGACGCCATCAGCGAAAAAGAGCGAGAGGACACGTTGTCGCTGCTCTGTGGATTTTCTTACATTCGCGATCCCTTCTGCTGCAGGACCTTGGCCCGGTCGTTTAGCTCCAGCTCTCGCCCGGCCGTCGTGCCGCACTCCTTGGAGACCACGCACAGGAACTCATTGTTTTCGAACGGCCCATAGCTGGTGTACTGCATGCTGATCAGCTGCTCGAACCGCCAGCCATCAGACAGCGTTGAGATCATCTGAAAAATTAAGAATAACGCTCAGATAAGAAGTTTTTGTGTGGCTTGCATCGAATCAAAAACTCACCTGAGTCAGTTCCTGTTCGCGACACTGCAGCACCCGATAAACGCGCTTTTTGTCCGCATGTGGTCGCTGGAAAGATTAGTAGAGATAAGTTGGGAAATCAGATGAAAGAGGGCTATTACTAACCTGATCCCTGTGCAGAATGCACTCCTTTAGCAGTGCTATCAGTTGCGTCACATTGTAGAACTCAGCCTCCTCCAACACGCCTTCCTCGGAGACTCCATCAAGCACCAGCTTGCCGTGGCGCAGATAGTTGAGCACGGGTGCAAAGTATTTGGGGTCTCTGTCGATCAGGTAGGCGCCTGTCTCGTCCTGCAAGCCAACGATATACTAAATTAATAACTCCCTATATCGGAATTCATTTGGATTGATGCAAAGAGTCATTGGGGGCTCTTGGTCTGTTTTGGTTTATGTCTCTAGGACCGACTTTGACTTTGAGACGAGTCGGGATAGGTTTCCCCCCGCTGCACATGCAACTGTTTGCGTGAGCACCTGTCTGCCTGTCTGCCACAACGACAACAGCGCTGTGTGGGTGGAGGAATCTCATTGAGGAGGGGGCAGCACATGAATGGTAAACTGTTTCTACTGCATGTCGCCCATTGTTGCTTCTATTCCTCCACAAGGGGCTGCTCTGTTCGGGCTTCAAGCAATTTAAGCGCCCGTTTAGGCAAGGTAATGGCTGAGTGTCTGGTGGCTGCCTTAATTGGCGGACGTGTTCGTGCGGGGGTGGTGAGCACAGAATTTAATCAATAGCAAAAGGCGCGGGCCGCGCAATAACAGAACTGCCAGAGTCACTCAGGCACACAGGGTGCAAAAGTTTTTATTGAAAATTATTTGGACATCGACAGGGGGTTGCAAGGGGAATAGTAGGAGGAGCTAGTGGACGCCACCGCCGCCAATGTTTATACAAAAGCAGAATAGGCAGGGTGCCTGCCGCTGGAATTTCTCGCTGCTCGTTCACAGTGGATTTATGGCTGCGGAGCCAGCGAAATGTTTGTTTGTCGATTGGCCATGTTCATGTTATGATTATTGTCATGATGATTATTTGACCTGCCCCGTTTGGAGGGGGTACGCAACCTTCTGGCAAACACCCACAACCCGCCATCCAATACCCACCGCCCACTCGTCGCCCAAGGCCTGTGCCCAGCAGCAAAATCAGGGCCTGTCACTGCAAAACTAGCACACTCGGCTGCAGCTGCAGTTAATGTAGGACGCTCTCTCGCGCTCTCTTTGCTATATGTTCCTGGCCCCTGGCCCAGATCCCTACCATCCCCCGAAAAATAACATTCTGCTGCATGACCTGCATTGGGTCATGTGCGCACTTTTTGGTAATGGTAATAGGCTTATTACTGTAATTACTTGGGGCTAGCTAAAATTGTAAACATAAATAGGAAGAGAAACACTCACCCGATCCGATATTAAATCGCAATCCTCCTGAATCAGGCGGGAGAGGAAGGAATTTGGGTCACGGGAGAGCGTCGTCTTGGTGGTGAGGAAGTAGGTTCCGCCCACGTTCAGCTTGACCCACTGGTCGGTGCCTTGTTTCTTCAGCACATTGGGGCTCTTGCGCGAATTTATGAACACCGTGCTCATGGTGGTGCTTCTGGGGTGCTCCGCTATTATACTGCTGCTGCTCCTGATCCTGCGGGGACGACGCCGTCCTGGTTTTGTGGGAAGTGGGTGTTCTGCCCGTTCCGCTGAGTTCCTGGCTAACTACCCGCTTGTGTTATCCACGCGTATCCCTTCTGGCCTGCAGTTTTGCTTGTGATTGCGACTTTAGCCTCAGCTCATGCTTTTCCCTTCGTTGGCGTCTTTGTTGTCTGGCCTTCGCCTCTTCCTCTGCCTCTGTCGCTGCTTCCTTTCCGCTCTGGGGTCACTCCACTTACGGCACGCTGTTTTTGCTGCTTTTCGCCTATTTTTTTTTAGTTAACTTGGACTAATTAATTAATTCATTAATTTTTTTTTGGACACAATAGAGCAATGTGCCCAGATTCGATGCAGAGCTGGAACTGTTTAATCAGCCAAGTGTGGTATGTGCACTCGCTAAATATCGATTAGTCTATCGATGGTTCGCCCACAGTTGTGCGATAACTGTGCCCTTCGATGATTTTAGAGGCCGCCAATGGTGAGTTTCTCAAATTTAAATTTGAACTTGGATCGTGTTAGTCTAGGCCTTTGGCTAATTTCCCAAAGATCAGTTAGTTCGTGGCTTTTACGCAGTGCGGATGATCACCATGGTTTTTCTACAACTCTGGCTGATGTTACTGCTGGCCTGTGCCGGCGTCTTCTCATTCCCGATGCTGTACAAGTTAAATCCCGAAGAGAAATACGAGGCAGGTGAGTGTTCTATGAAATAAGTTTCTGACCATGTCGAGTATACTGTTCGATTGCTTTTTTCCCCTTAGACCTTGTGCCCGTCTCGTCAACAGTGATTCCGCTAACTGTGCTAGAAGTTAGCTACGGAGCAGGTGGCAAGCCCAGCGAGGAGTACAAGGCGGCCTATCTCCGCAAGCTGCGCAAGCAGGTGCTCCAACGGGCGGACAAGGGAAAGCAGAACGACGAGGACGACGAGGCACCCACGGTGTTAGGCCTGTCCGATTCCCCGGCTCCGGTAGACGGCTTAATTACAGGTGGGTTTCTCGCACTTCTGATCCAACAATCAAGTTATCCCATTAATCCCATGCCATTGCAGTGAAATCGCAGCAGCTGGAGAAGGCCAGAGTCAAGGCCGTCTGAAGTGGAGTAACATGGTGCTGGTCTTCAAGCTGATGTCATGGCGTGGTTGTGCTTGGCATAAACAACAACTAACCGAATCGCAACAAATCTTGTTTTGGCTTCGGCCTAATTGGGCGTGTGTGTGTGTGTGTGTGGGTGTTGTGGATGACGCAGCTCGTAGCTGCAGAGGTAGAAACGTTACGAAAGGGAGTCGCTGAGTTGGCCGGAAGCTGCTCGGAGCGGTAGGATGTCTGTTGTCAACGAAATCGAATCAAATCTAATGAGGCCCCCGCTTCCCATTCGATTGGTATAACGATGACAATGAGATAACCTCCACAGCTGCTGGGGGACATTAGAAGCACTCGAATAGTTTCGCCCCTTGGTCAGAGGCTGAAAAATCACAGCAGCAAGGAAGAGTCGGTCAAAGAGGAGCGCACAAAGAAAACGAGGCATTAAGAAGCAAAAAGGGGGATTTCGGTGGGCGATGGATGATGGACGACGAGGGGTGGCTGCTGGAGTGTGCGTGCTTTTGAGGCCAGTTAGTCAATTTCAGAGTCCCCACCCACTGTACCACAGTCGGGTTTTTCCTTTTGCCTTTTCAGGACTCAGGTGAGACTTTCCTGCTCGGCTGCCTGTCCAAACGCAACCTGACAGGCACATCGGACTGCTCTCTTTCTTGCTACTATCTTTGAGCTTCGCCAGCTTTGTGCAGAGCCGTCAATGTAGTTGTCATGGACAAGTCACAAGTTGCATGGCCACACAGGAACGTGTCACAATCAGGCAGTATCTTTGGAAAGGGGGACGTGCATCTTATGCACCCACCTGTAAAACCCTACACATCATAACCATAACCTCCCTCCAACCGCCCCGAAAAGCCACGGCTGATTAAGCGAACTGAAATGCTGATGGCAGCCAACTATTTTCGCTATTTGTGCACTCGCCTCCGGCACGTACTTAATTTGAATACAAAGGCGCAGGAGGTGGTAGGTCGGAGGGATTGAAGTCTGTCATGTTTGTGCCAAGTTTATGCGGATTTAACAGGAGCAGGTCGCAGCTTTCCGCTTTACGCTTTTCGCATATCCGCCCCCCCACCGCAAGTCAAGGGACTTGGGACGGAGGCAGCGTTGAAGAAGTGTAAACTACACGTAAATGATGTTGTCACTGTTCCGCCTACCCGGGCACCCGCCCACCCATCTACTCGCAAACACACTTCACTTGCCTTGGCTCTTAAATGTGATTTGAGTAGCTGCTGCCGATGCCGATGCTGATGCTGATGCCGATACGAATGGTGTTGTTTCTATCAATGTTGCTGCTGGTAGTTATTGCTGTTCGATCTGCACATTTTATGCTCCACTTACCGCCAGCGACAGCTAGGGGAGGGCAGTCCCCTTTCATCAGAGCTCTGATGAACCAATTAATAGCTGAGCCTATTCAATACCGAATGTTAATATCGCGTATACGCCTACGCGCCCATTTGAATGCGTGTCGCTCGAGTAGTATTTGTTGCTGGTGATGATGATGATGATGATGATGATGATGGCGCTGGTGTTGATGATGATGCTTCAGTGGAGCAGTGGTTTTTGTTGTTGCTGATTGTTGTCAGCGACAGATGCCATCAAATCGAATGTCAAATCGAATGACGTGTGAAGTAATCGTTTGCGCGGTGCCTCTTTTAATTTATGGCAAAGAGAAATACTTCTGACAGGTGAGGCGAGAGGATGGACGGGGTGTATAATCCTTCAGAGAAGCAAATCTGCAAATAATTGTGAAACAGAATTAAAGTTAAAAGCTCGTTAAAAAACGGAATTAAACTAATTCATTCAATGACAGAAACTTAAATCAAAACTGATGGCTGCGGTGAAATCGAATTGCAGAAGTTTTAAAGCCAATTCAACAGTAAACTGGCAGTGGAAATCAAACTGGGAAATGCTCGGTGGAAAAAAAAAAACAAAACTCCGATCGAGTTGGGAATGGAGAATTTTGGGTAGGAATTTGCGACACAATACCAATCCAATTCGAGGCTTGACTGGGGAAATGAAATGTCATTAAGTTCCGAATTTGTTTCGTTTTGGGCTTGTTTCTGCTTTTGTTGAGTGGGGAAAGGGAGAGGGGCGTGATCTAATTGCGGATTTGGGTCGCGTGCTCGTCCAACAAGCCTTGGATGCAATTGGTCATCCGGCATCTGCCTCTGGCTTTTAATGCCGTGGTCATTCCTGTTGCTGAGTTGCTGTGTTTCTGTTTGCGCCCTCTGCCCCTGTTTGTTTTGCACTCGATGGGAGATTTTGTGGTGTCCCCACCCCTCGAAGTATGCAGCGTGGGAATTTATGCAAATAAGTGGGTGGGTGGTGTTGTAGGCTATGAATGGAAGAACTTGGAGTTCGGCCTAATTGACGCACGTCCTGTGAAGGCTGACCCGTGTCCTGTAACCGGTAAGGCGACTTGAACAGCCTCCAATGATGTGGAAAATTACTTTAAACGTGGTGGACACACTTTGCCCATATTTCGATTTTACGTATTTCCGATTTTCCGAATTCTGCATGTGCTAAGGGTGAGGGGGCAGAGTCCAGGGAGTCGTCCAGGGAGCGTGGCTGAAATGTCTTTTTAAATGCTTGGTGCCTTGCCAAACTTTGATGGGCCAAACTCTCCCTCTGACACACTTTGGCTCTCTCTTTCCCTTTCCTCTTTCAGTTTTAGTGAGTGTTTAAGTGTGTGTTTGTGTGTGTGTGTTTGCTTTGATATGGAGCAGGGTAAGGAGTGGAGAAGGGGAGCAGGGAAAACCCTGCAGACTTCAGATTTCCGACTTCACAGAGATGCCTGGCAGGCAACATCGGCCCAATGAAATCAGCGTCAGGCAAACAAAATTTTACTAAATACACACGCACACTCACACACACACACAGGCAGACTTGCTAACACACACACACACACAGACAGAGGCCCCGCACACTATGTTCGAAAAATGGAATATAATGCAAACGAAATTATAAGAAGTCAAAGCCAAAGGCACAGTAGGCTATGGCTCAAAGACTAGCCTCCACCTCCACCTTCGCATCCCCCAAAATCATCAGCTAGCGTAATTAATCGAGTTTTCAATGCGAGCGATTCGCAATCGCATCCATCAAAGGCACCGAACTTCTCAGCCAGGCGATCGAAAAGGCGGCAACATAAGACTCTGAGCCAAGACGGAAACAGTAGCAGGAGAAGGACCAGAAGCAGGATGAGGAGCAGGAGCAGGACCAGAAACAGGAGAAGGAGCAGGAGCTCCCAATCATCTATCATAGACAGCACCGAATACAGCCCACACCGCCCCACTCATTCAAATCTAATCAAGGAATACACGTTGCTATCTTCTTCGGGCTGTGCGTTTTTACAGGCAATTTATTAATTTGGCAAGTTAGGCACAGACCACAGAAAGCGACAAAGGCGACTGCCTTTGGTATGGTAAGGACTGGTAGCTTGGAGCTGGGAGTTGGTAGCAAGGAAGTGGGGAAAGCCGCAAAGCGTTTACCCGCCGCTTTGGCTCTGCCAAGCGGGAACAAGATGAAATCCAAGCCGAAAACCGAATAACCGAAACCAAACCCAGACGAGTTCGAAAGAAACCGAAGGAAAACTCCCAGCGCTTGAAGCACACCACACGCGATGAGCATCGTGGTCACAGTGGTGCGGAACACCTCCGTTTCTGTTCTCTTTTTAGCCCTAAGCTAAGCCCTAAGCTTAGCCCTAAAATGACTCCCACGTCTATCAGAACGATTGTTTTGTGCAGCTAACGACCAAATAAAACTTTCCTCATCATTCGTTTGATGATTTTGGGGATTTTACTTTTGGCCCAAATTTCGCATTTTTGATAAGGGGTACCATCACAAAATTTTCCAAAATGGGCCAAAAATGAAGTTTCCCATATTTGAATGCAGACCAATTGGGAATCATGGCAATCAAGTTACGAGCCTTACGAGGTATTACATTTCCCATTTGGACCATTTTTGGCTGTGCTATGGGCAAAGAACTGATTTTTTTGTGCCCAAAATTATGCTACGGTTTTTGGCAGCATGGCTTGGCAGCTTTTTAGCTCTAGCTCGGCCAAAACAAGGCGCACATCCAAAAGGACGACTGTTTTCTGCTGCTAACGACCAATACTAAGTACCCCTATCACTCGTTTTTCGATTTTGGGAAAATCCATTTTGGGCCAAATTTCGCATTTTTTATGAGGGGTACCATCATCATTAAAATTTTCAAAAATTGTCCAAAATTGGACATTTTAAACTGTGAATGCAATTCGATTGCAATTTTAATAACGAGTTCAGCGATATATGACTTTCTATATTCCGACCATTTTTGGTTTTTTTATGAGAATATTTCTGATTATTTTGAGGCAAAATTCAGGACTTTGACTTTGGGCTGAAAATGGTGATATTTTCTATCAGATTTATTCCTATAACTTACCCAAAACAAGACGAACAGCTGAAACAAAGACTGTTTTGTAAAGCTAACGACCAAAACTAACTTTTCCTATCATTCGTTGGTTTATTTTGGGAGTTTGAATTTTTGCTAAATTTTGGTTTTTTTGTAAGGGGTAACATCATCAAAATATTCGAAAAATGACGACAATTATACTTTTCAAGGTGGGGACACAGATCGACTGGAAATTAAAAACCAAACTTAACGACATATAACATTCCTAATTCGGACCAATATTGGCTTAGTTATGAGCAAAATACTGGCAGTTCTAGGAGGTTATCGGGATTAACCATTTTTCGCATTTTTGATGCCATTTGACAATATTTTCAACTATTTTATCGCTTTTACAGTCTTAACTTCATCAAAATAAGACGCAGAACATTAACCATAAATCTTTAGTAATGTGATAATGGTTAAAGTTTCTATCATTCCTGCCTATTGTACTCAAATTATTACTAGCTTCGAGCCACGGTGGCTAAGCGAAGAAGGAACAGATGGGCTAGGACTAGGCTCCAAGTCCAGGCGCTCCATCGCTGCCGCCTGACTGCGCAGGGAGCATGCCGCAAAGGATTCGTTTGAACACGTTGTGCGTAAAAGCCAAAGCCAGAGAAGGCAAAGGCAGCCTTAGCCTCAGCACCAGCACCAGCAGCAGCATCAGCTTTAGCTTCAGCATCAGAAGTAGAATCGGAATCAGCAGGAGCTGAAAACGCACAAAGTGCGCACAATCAAAACAAATCAACACGTGGTTTTGGCCACCTCTCGAGCAGTTAGGCAGGAGCAGGAGCAGGGGCAGGGGCAGGAGCAGTCGAACAGTAGAGCAGTGGAGCAGTCGAATAGACCAACTGTCGAGGTCGAGGCAAGGCCCAAAAGGCCTGCTTCTCCCCCCCGTTGCGCGCTGCAACCCCAGCATCCTCTTATTGCTCCTTAAAGAGCGACGCAGACGCAAAGTCCCGAAGGCGGAACTACGGGCGTTGCCAGATAGAAAGGGGAATGCCAGGTTTCGCTTTATAATTCCCATCCTGGTCTCTAACATGTAAAGCAAAAACAAACCGAAAAACAATTCTACAAAAAAGAAAAAAAAAATAAAAAACAAACACCTTTTGAGCTATTTATACCGACTTTTCCCCTGAAAATACATCTCTAACCTGCTTCATAGAGATTTTTGACGATTTCATTTGTGATTCTAAAAAAAAGAGTTTGAACTTGTGCCTGTCGCAACCCCTACTGGCTGGGTGGCAACCATGCCAATGGGTTTGGCACGCGATAAGCATCCAGAAGAGATGAGAAGAGAGTGAGAGTGAGAGTGCGAGTGCGAGAGCTTTGGATGCGAGAGCAGGAATATTACGTATACGCTGCAGGAGGGCGTGTTACAAGCCGAAATGAAACGAAATCGAAATCGAAACCAAGTCAATGCCTCTCTCTCTCTCTCTCTCTCTCGCTCGCTTGCTCTGTGTGACATTGACAGTGCTCGGTGGCATCCCGTGGATTCCCCACAGTCTCCTGCTCTGGCGGTTAGAAACGAGCGCACTTTTGTCCTTCGTGCTGGGTTTCGCCTCCGCTCGTGGAAGCTGCGGATACGGCTGCGGCTGCTTCCTCTTGCTCTCAAACAGAGGCGGCACCATGGTTATATGGCTCTATGGCTGGGTTGGCTCTGGCCCGGGTTGGCAGTGCCATTCGGTGGCTCGTCGCATTCAGTCCGCAGAGCGCGCTCCGTTCCGTTCAGTGTCCTGTTCGGTTCTGTTCGCCCGCATCCGCATTCGCATTCGCATTCGCATCCGCAGAAGCTGCCAGCCGACGACGTCTATAGCCAGAGAGCTTAGGTTCAGTTTAAGTTTGCGTTACCGATTCCCAGATCGAGCTGAGCTTGGCTTGGCCCGGCTGGAGCGGACTTGAACTTCGGCTTTGGAACCGGACTTTGGGGCTAGCGAGACGTGCGTGAGACTTGACTTGGACTTTGGACCCTCGGACCAAGACGTAGACAAAGACCAGACCATAGACCGACTACTGACCAACTGACCAAGTGAACACAGCGCCCAGGATGCGAACGTAAACGTAAGCCCAGGACCCCACCCCTGTTGTCCACCCCGCCCATGTGCCAATCCGATTGTGTTTTGTTTTATAACAAAGAAAACAGCAACAGCAACAGCAAGAGCAGCAGCATTAGCAACATCAACGACAACAACAGCAGCAGAAAAAGGACGAAAAAGTTCTAGGGGAGAGGGGGGTGGCAGAAATAGAGAAAGCACAGCGGAATGATGGCGAAAAAATATATCAGCAACAAAAAAATAGATGAACTTTTTTGCGTGGCTTTTTCTTTTTTTTGGGCGTGTATGTGTGTGTGTATGTACGTGTGCCTGCCTCATAGCTGTGTGCTAGTGTGTGTGTGTGTGTGTGCTGTGTCTGTGTCTGTGTGAAGCTGCGTCGTCGTCATCGCTGCTGTCGTTGTCGTTGTGCGTGTCTTTGAATTTTTGGGTGTGGACTTGTTTCATGTTTCAGTTTCAGTCGCTGGCTTTTTCGCACCCCTTGCCAGCACTACACCCTTCTGGTGCCCTCCCACATCCGCTGCCCCATCAAAACTTTCCGCTAAGTAGGAAAAAACAACAACAACAAGTACAACTATAGCTGCAAAAAAAAAAAACATCGGGCATAATAAAAATAATCACGAAAAAGTGCAATGCAGAAATGCAGTGGCAAGGCAGACTCAGCTTTAGCTTCAACCTCTGCCTCCGCCTCAGCATCAGCATCAGCGTCAGCGTCACTCTGTCACTCTTTATTTTGTTTTTGTTCAAGTGTGTGAGTGCAAGTGTGAGTGAGTGTGCCAATAACAACAATAACTACAACAACAACCGCAGCGCCAGCACAACAACAATGGCGAAAGTGCATCAAAAGTGCCGAAGGAAAACAGCGCGAAAGCAAAACAAAAGCCTCAACCCACCAACCGAACCGAACGCCCCTAGACCCCGCCCCCTGCGACACATTTTAATTAAGAGCCTGCAATGACAGACCCCTCGACAACCAACCAACCCACCCACTCGACACTACTATAGTGTGGCACCACTGTGGCACCACCTCCACAACCCACCCAATCGCGCCTCCAACAAGTTTGAGATTTTTATTATTATGAAATTTTCGCTAATTCAAGGCGGAAGGCCAAGCGAAGCAGCCTTGGGCGGCTTTTGGCGCGCGATGGTGCCACGCCCCCTCTTCCCTGACACATTCTGCATTCTGCATTCTAAATTCAACTTTCTTCTTTTGTCCCATTTCACCCCATCACCATCACCTCTTCTCGCCTGCTGCTACAGCCCGGAATGTAAACAAACCGGAATGGGCTGGAAGAGAGGGGGGGAGTACTTTACCGAATGCATTTTTAACCTAATCGATGGATTGCAATCAACCTAACCAGGCAGTTAGTTTCACTCTGTCACACTTAAGATGCCCCAAAAATAACAACAACTTTCATTAGGAATAATCCCCAGAAAACTATATTAAGAACAAGGTCTATGAGTCGGGAAAGGCGTTAACTTTAATTAGAGCCATATAGCTGCATTAACCCATGGATAGCTTACCAGATGGCTTACTAGTTGAAATCTATTTAGGGAACTCCCCAAGTGCCCCGCCAGGCAACCTTTGAGGGCCTGCCCCCAACTGCCGACTGAAGGTCAGCGGCCAAGGATGCTGCTAATGTCCCACAACAACTGACTGCATCTCAGTCGGGAGTTGAAACTTTTTGGCCCACACAACGCAACGCAACGCAACACAACAGATCAGAAACAGAAACAGAAACCAAATACAACAGCAACACGAGACAGGAGTGAGGGGGGGGAGGGAGACAAACTGCCTGCCTCCGTGTTAGCGTTTCCTGTTCCTGTTCCTGTCCGTCGCCATTGTTGTTTCACCCGTCGTGTTGTTGCAACGGGGATTTGCATTCGGCCAACTTTTTGGGTAGCAAACTTTTGTTTGCTTGTTGTTTTGGCGGCACAACAAGCCGAAACTAAGGAGGGAAGCTGATCCAATGAATTAGGTGCCAGCAGCCAGCGAGGGAGGGCGAGGCCGAGGGCAAGTAACACCAGACGCCATGGACAGACACCATCAGTGTCACAAAGATAACACGCAGTCATTTTTCACGCTCGACGCACTTTTTTCCTTTGGCCTTTTTTTTTTTTTGGCAGTCAAGGCGAAAAGAAAAATAAGGCAAATGTCGTTGGGACACAGAGAAATCCGTTGACAGAAAACGTTTTGGGCCAAACTAATAAGCAACCAGCCATGTTTGTCTTAGGGAGACGGGGGGTTGGGGGTTGGTCTGACAGCGGTCGACGTACTGTCAAATAAGACAGCACACCACCCAACCACCCAAGCCCAGTCATCTGTTCTGGCCTAAAGCTAACCCATTCGAAGCTGGCCAAACAAGGTTCCCTTGGCTGGCAGCGATAAAGCACGGCGAAAGTGAAAGGAAAGGAGCAGAGAAGAGGGAATGGAAACACACAAATAAATAAATAGATTGCATTTGTGGGCGTGGTCAGTAGAAGAAGTAGAAGAGAGAGAAGGAGAGAGAAAGCGGCAAGCCATGCTAAAAAGTAAATAACTGTCAAAAGGGTTCAGCATAAGAACACCGAAAGAAATTTGTAAAGAAAGTAGAAGGAAAATTTAGGTAAAACTGTTAGGTAAAGCTACTACTTTAGTCAAAGGATAGGAAATGGTTTGTCCTAGTAAGTGCTTAGTAACTCTATATGACTATGACTACTTCTTTTTTCACTGTGTACAGTTCGTGGGCTTATAAGAGGGCTTGTGGCTGAAGCTGTCCCTAAAGCAGCCAAGCATAGTAGTAGATACAAGTTGAGCCTAACCCACAGATGTCCGGCAGAAGTCATAAACTCACAGGCCCAGACTTATACACTGGGAGAAGAGGAATGATGATAATGCCATTGTAACAGCAACAACAACAACAGCAATCTTGAGGAAGTGACGTTAACAAGAACAGCCGACCAAAGCAACAAACATTTTCAATCAAAAGTTTAATACGCCGTGAATTCATTACACGTCCGATGAATGATGTAGCACCCAGAACCCAGTAACCAGTCCAAATCCAGGCCCAGGCCTAGGCCCAGAAACACCATCCATGATAACAGGGAAAGAATAAAGGGGAGAGGGAGAGGGGGAGAGTGGGGAAGGTCTATGAGCCACGTTATCCGGGATGTCTGTTATTTTGGTTTCTTTTCTCATAAGATACAATTTATTGCCGCCATCATGTACGAAAAGTACGAAACACATGTAGACACACACACACACACACACACACACGCACACACATGTAGAAATAGACATTTACGGCTGTCCTAAGCATACACTCACACATACATACATAGAAACGCCAAGATGAGCCTGGAGAAATGCGAAGACAGTCGCAGAGAAGCCCATGACCTTCGGCGCCTTTGGCGGCCATTGCATGCGAAACAGGAGCACAAGCATTAGGCTAAGGTTGAGGTCCTGCTCCTTCTCCTGCTCTCCAGACTGCTCCTTTGTGCCTGCTTGGGCCTAACAAAGTAATCACTCTTTCCTGCCAACAAGACGGAAGGGGAAAGTCGGACAGAAAATGGCTCTTCCCCCGCTTATTGACAGCCAGGCAGCTAAGTGTCAAAACACAGTTTAAGCCAGACCAGAGGCTACGCAAAATGAAACGGAGGGAGGGGACGGGAGGTTGTGCGGCAGACAGCCGACAACCAACAACCGACAACCGACAAATTATAAGCCCAAACAGCTTCTGTTTGCCGCGCGCAGCCAAAAGATCCGAAAGGCGACGACCGCCGCAACACGAAATGAAGTCGAGCAACTTGCTGACGCAGGAGCTAGGACCCCTGCTGCCGCCCAAGCCCCCTTCTCAGAGCAGAGGGTGGAATTCGATGATGACACGAAGCCGCAGCAGGCGACGCCCAAAGCCAAAACCCAAAGCTTTAGCGGTGCACAGAGGCAAAAAAAGATGGCAATTGAGATCATTTTTCGAAAGAAAAGATAGTTTTTTAGAGTTTTCAAGATTTCGTTTGCCAAACGTCTTTAGAAGTTCTTCATAGCTTCGTAGCTAGTCGAAGTGTAAGAATTCTTAGTCAGATTAAGTAACTTCAGGGTTGGAAAGAGGTCTAGAAGTGTGTTTCCAGTGTACCAATAGCTACAAACAAAGGCCAAATTTGAGCCGGAAAACCAGGATGAGAAGCAGGAAAACTACCAGCAGCCGCAATATGTGGGGATATTAATGATGATGACTATCATAATGGCAAGAAAAGGCGGGAAATCGGTGAGGGGGAAGAGCTGATAGAGAGCAGAGGGAATGATTTCCTCTACCCTCGTAGTCCAAACTCTCCGTTTTCCGATTTCTGATTTCTGTTTCCGCTGCTTTGGCCGCTCTCCCTGCTCCCTCTCTCTCTCTGCTCTGTTTTTACTGCCGCCCATGGCAGCATTCAAAATTCAAAGTGAAAATTTTCCCAGCAATTGCCGCATTCCCGTGTGGGTGGTTGGCAGGAATCGGGAGTCAGAAGGCAGTAGGCAGTAGGCCAGAGTGTACGTGTGTATGTGTGTGGAGCTGCGATTATGCGGACCAATGTCGCATTTAATTTATGTAGAACGGCAAGCTGCGCTCAAATTGAATCCGAGTGAAAAACGGCGTAGTCGCCTACGCAGGACAAGGGATCGAAGGGTGAACTACCCTGGGAGCTGGAAAACAACATATATCATTTATATAGCATACATTTCAGCGCAGCCCCTCCTCCACTTATTTTGCAAATTTTTTGTATAGAATTTTGACCTATAACTTTGTTGAAACAGGACGGAAAGCTACAAGAATGACTGTTTTTTGCAGTTTATAACCGAAACTAACTTTCCTCATCATTAGTTTTATGATTTTGGGAAATTTATTTTCTTTCAAAAGTTTTCATATTTTTGTAAGGGGTAACATCATCAAAAATTGCGAAAATTTTAATAATTTTGACTTTTTGAGGTGTGAATACAGTTAGAATGGATTTTTAATTACGAATCTAGAGATGTATGACATGTCCTTATTCCCACCATTATTGACTTTGCTATGAGAAGAATTCTGACTGTTTTAAGGCACAAATCAGGATTCTAATTTTCAATAGAAAATTGCCTTACCTTCTATCGGGATTTCGCCTCTAACTTAGTCAAATTAAGACGCACAGCGTCTGTTAGAATGACTGTTTTATACAGCTAACTACCGAAACTTAACACCCCTATACTTACTTAGTGCGTTATTGTTCTGGTTTTTTGGTGCGAGCTCTGTATTTAGGGCTGAAAAATCAGGAAACCGATTTTTAACAGAAATTTGCAATACCATGTTCGGTTTTGTAGCTCTAACTCGGTCAAAACAAGACGCACAGCCAAAAGAACGACTGTTTTGTGCTACTAACGACCAATACTAACAACCCCTATCACTCGTTTTTCGATTTTGGGAAAGTCAATTTTGGCCCAAATTTCGCATTTTTGGTAAGGGGTACCATCATCAAAATTTTCAAAAATGGGCCAAAAATGAAGTTTCCCAGATTTGAATGCAAACCAATTGGGAATCATAGCAATCAAGTTACGAGCCCTACGAGGTATTACATTCCTCATTTGGACCATTTTTAGCTGTGTTATGCCAAAAAAACTGATTTTTTGGTGCTCAAAATCACGTAAAGGTCTTTTGGCAGCAAAGATTCCGGTTTCCTTGCCGTTTCTTAGCTCTAACTTTGTCAAAACAAGCCGCATGTCTTAACTAATGACTCATTTATGTAGCTAAGAACCGAAACTTTAAACCCCTATACTTACTTTTATCATTATTGTTGTGATTACCTTGGTGCGAGCTGCGATTTAATGGCTAAAAAATCGAAAAACCCATTTCTACAGAAATTTGCCATATTATTTCCGACTTTTGGCTCTAGCTCGGTCAAAACAAGACGCACAGCCAAAAGAATGACTGTTTTGTGAAGCTAACGAACAAAACTAACTTTCCTTATCATTCGTTGGTTTATTTTGGGAGTTTGAATTTTTGCAGAATTTGGGATTTTCTGTAAGGGGTAACATCATCAAAATTTTCGAAAAATGACGAAAATTATACTTTTCAAGGTGGGGACACAGATCGACTAGGAATCAAAAAACAAACTCAACGATGTATAGCATTCGTTATTTGGACCATTATTGGCTTAGTTATGGGAAGAATCTATCATATCTAGGGGAAAATCTGGATAAAACTTGAAAATCGGGATAAACCATTCACTTTCGTGAGACTGCACGAGGTTTGGTGCCCTTAAGATGGTCCAACTTGCTGTTAAGATTACAAACTTAAAAAAATCTTATACAGAACTCATTACACCTGCCAGGAATACCTTGCCTTTGCCCATGGAAATTAATTCCACGCACTTAATATACAAGACTTGAGGAGCCCAGTTGATAGGACCCCTCGAAGTTGGCACCATTCCGGAGGCAAGGACACTTCGCAGCTTCCCTTTCTTAGTTAGTCCCAAGCGTAGTGGAAGTTGAATACCCACGCCTGGCGACCGGAAAGGTAGCAGTAACAAAGTGAGGCAGCCACCTGCGCGGATGGTGTCTCCATAAATACACTAGTATTCTCCCCTTTTGGCGGCAGCAGGCGTTCCACCTGTACAGTGGAGCCAAAATCCTGCGAATGCCGTTCCCCGTCATGGGCCAACCTTTTTTTCATGATGCGTTCCACCGTTCCTGTTCCGGCCATAACAAATTAGTAGCGGAAACGGAAATGGCGGAAAACGTCAACGACGAGTGTTGCCAACGTTGCTGCAGATGTTGCTGCCTAGGTGTATGCTTGTGTGTGTGTGTGTGTGAGTGAGTGAGTCTGAATGGATGGAATGGTTATTGGTGTGTGGGTGTGGAATGACTGGCATGGGTGGGTGGTTAAATGTTCATGCTTTCTGTTGCCCGTTTAAATTTAGCAATGCGCAGCACCCAATACAAACACAAAAACTCCCTGGGGAAGCGACGAACTGAGGGCAAAGCGGCTGGCAAGCGGACCCAGAAAACTGCTAAGGAAAACGCAATCCATCCACACACCGAACAATACCATCTTAGCAACGCCAATAGTAGCCAATTGCATCCCAGCCAGATGCTCTAGAGACCACCGGAGCACTACCCAGCACCGGATCCCAGCGAACTTCAGGGCCCAGTAGTCCAACAAGCCATGATGCCCACTCGCGTCAAACTGAAATGCGGCACGGATGACCATGCGTTGCCAACCGCCGATTCGAACACTGCCACAAGCCAGCACAAAAGCAATAAACGGCTAACCCTAACCCCTCCAAGCGGCCCAATTCCGCTGCTTCTACTCGCACTTCTTCTGCTGATCCTGGACAGCAGAACATGCCATGGCCTTCGGCTGACCAACGGTGGCAGCAGCCTAACCAAAGGCGCTGCAGCCAACAAGGAGCAGCTCAACATCGGTCTGATCGCGCCACACACGAACTTCGGAAAGCGCGAGTACCTGCGTAGCATCAACAACGCGGTCACTGGACTAACAAAGACCCGCGGCGCCAAGTTGACCTTCCTCAAGGACTACTCCTTCGAGCAGAAGAACATCCATTTCGACATGATGTCGCTCACGCCCAGTCCGACAGGTGAGTGCCCATTATAATGTTTGTATGTATGTTTGGTATGTATTTACTACTTGCTACTCGAGCGCGAAATTTGTTTATTGGCAGCGGCATTGTGACCATGGGAGGTCACAGGTCGCTGGTCGTTGGTCGTAGGTCGTGGGCCGCGACACCTGGCCAGCTCTTAATTGCGTGCGCGTTTTTAATGGCCATTCATTTGGAGCTACTTAAGCGCTTAACCCTCTTCGCCACCCACGACGACGCAATAAAAGTGAAAATGATAATGAAAATGAAAATGAAAATGGGGAAACGAAGGAAAAATGCTAAATGCGAGGTGAGAAAAGGCGGACATAAATAAATGTCCAGGCCAGGCTGGACTGTAATTAAACGCTGACAGGGTTGTCAACGCAAAGTGGCAGGGTTGCGGTTGGTCAAAAAACAAAAAGAGTTGCCTGTGATTGAGTGACAAGTTGGATTCCTCATTACATTTTCAAAAAAAAAAAAAAAAAAAACAAAAAAATCAATCATCTAGGGCTCCCCTCGTTAAAAATCTGACAAAATAGCCAACTGGCTGATGTCAGAGAGGCAAATGGAAAGCTTAAGAACTGAAATCTGGGTGGCAAGTAAGTAATAGAGGTCCTTCCAGAGTTGTCAAGTCTGCCAAAAGCAGCTGAAGTTGTTCCTACAACAGTGTTTTCAACTCTCTCTCTCTCATTGAGTGACAACCCGAATTTCAGGTGCCTGTTATTGTGCTAGTGCCATGCATGCGGGGTTGCCAGGTTACCCATCCGACCGTGCAACAGGGTTACCCAGTGCCCCAATGTGATTCCCAGCAATTTATGCGCCCGCTTCCTCTTTGATTGCATAAACCCGAATTCCAGATTCCGTTTTGCAAGTGCAAAATTGCATATCAAAAGGCTGCGCTCAGAGTGTCCATGTCTACAAATTGCATTCTCTGTGCCACATCCAACTGCCACAATACCCTCTTTTCCGCCCCCAGAGCCCGTTACTCGCATCGTGGCACAAAAATATGCAAAGTTGTAAAATGGGGCAGGATCGGGAGCAGCAGCAGCAGCAGCAGAACTTAACATCCCCGGGCGGGTTAGCGGGAGGAGCGAAGACTGATTGCTCCCGGGTCAGCCATGTGCATATGGATATGGCGAACGGCGGAGGGGGTTCAGGGGCATATTGAAATTTTATGTTGCATTTCCACAATTCTGTTGGCCAAATTGATAAAGTAAACATACAGAGAGAGCGAGAGAGAGAGAGATGGGGCTGGAAAAGCGGGCAAAATGCGAGTGCAAACAAAACCCAAATGAATTTTCAATGATGTTTAAATGTTTATTATGGCCAGGACCTTGAGAATATGCCCGCATCGAGATAGCTACGAGTCGAGTGTCTGTGTACGCAAATTACAACACATAGCAAACAAAGTCTGTCTGCTGATTGCCCCACACCACCCACTGAACAAGTGTGTGAGTGTGTTAGTCTGTGGGGAATTTATAATGGATTTCTATAGCTTTCGCACCCACGCACACACTCGCTCAGTCACATTGACAGGAGAACAGGGCTTGTTCGGTTGTTCAGACGATTGTTATTTCCCTCGAATGTCGAACAATAAACGGGTGGATAGGTGCCTTGATTTCCCAGCCCCTTTCTTTCCATCCGCCTTAGGTGGAAAACTTTGCCTTTCTTCGATTGCTGATGCCTGATTGCACTGCCACTGCCATACCGCCTCCCCTTCCTTACCAACTATTACATTCCACATTCCTGATTCCATTGATTGCCGGCCATAGTTTGGCCCGACTTTGGTCCCAGCAAATTCTATAATAATCGTATGGAAATTGAATTCGATTCAGCGGTCATCCAGTTGAAGTTGTCATCCAGTCATCCAGTCATCCAGTCATCTAGTCATCTAGCCATCCCTTCATCTAGTCAACCACTAACCCATTCACATTCCCTGCAGTTGGATGAGCTGTGCGGTTGCGGGTGAAGGAGCCCATCATGTGCCTTTCAAGCGCCTCACAGTCTGTCCCGCAGTAGATGATTTTGTGTCAAAGTAATTTCGTACAAAATTGTATTTACTTTAACCCCTAGACACAACAAACGATTACCAGGTCAGGTTCCAGGAAGGAGAGAGAGTAGGGCTCCTTGCTTGTGCGACTGCTTGCTTGCCCCTTTCTTGTGGCAGCCATAAACTTTGATGGCCTTATTATCGAGTTTGGCTCATTTGCGGCGAGTGAAAACGGGCCACAGCCAGGGCAATCACCTCAGGATAGCTAAGCCCTGGTCCATGGGGAAAGGTAAAATAAAGTCGGCACCTAAAACTATATAATCCACTATACAGGGGGAGTGGGGATAGGGAATTCATAATACCATGGAGCCTGCTTTATATGTAATAGGAGCAGGGAAAGTAGGAAAACTGAGCTAATAATCGTTATCTCTGCATCTCAACATCGGCATCAACAACAGAGCCGCATTATCATATTGACAGGTTAACCCTTTTTTGGTTTGGCAACCAGTACAAAACACACTCACAGACAGGCATTACATACGAACGTATGTACATAGATGTAATCTGTTATCCTGTTATATGACTCCCACATGCTGTGCGCCCTCCATCTCCGCAATGCCCCTTCTTTGACGCCGTGTCCATTAGTATCTGCTCATCCGGCTAATTTGCATTAATTGCATAACAATAGTAGCAGTCAGCAGCGAGCGAAGTCAAATTGATGGGATAATTGAGCGTTTTGTGCATCCGAGTGACTCCCGTAAGTTTCCCACTGCCCTGCGACCTTGCCGCTGTTGCCCAAAAGTCCGTTGTTGGTCGCCATTTGACCCAGACTCCATCCCCATCCCTCGACCTCGACCCAGAACAATTGTGCATTACTCCCGCCTATTGGTATGCACACATGCATGACCTTCTGGCCGTAAGCGATACTCTAATTGCCATTGACAATTGGGTGAAAGCCAGGCCAAGTGCCTGGGCTTCGCGCTAAGTTTCATCATTTAATCGATGGCCACGTGGCGTATGGGCAATGCTGTCAATAAGCGGATGATTGAATGATCCCGCCAAGCTGAACTTGGAGCTTAGCCCACTTTGCTAAATGACATTTTAATTTGGATCGAACCCAACGGAACAAAACAGACCAGAACTGAACAGAAAAGAACCGAAACCCACGTATCATATATCACTCCATTGTCAGTGTCCGACAACTCTGATCCCCGGCAGCCGTAAGTCATTTTTCTTGTCATCCCTTTTGCTTTTACTGTGGGGAGAGCGGGGATGAGGGGTGGTTAGAGATCCGGGGCCGCCCTGCAGTCTGCCAGCTTTCATCACGGGCAACTTGGTCCTTTATTATTAGCCACTGAACCCGCGATTACCATCCGGCTGGCCACTGCAACCGGCAATGAATGACCAGCGATGCTGACAGCGCCGTTAACCTTGTTTACACCTTGTCTACATGGCAACACCCACCCACCCACTTTTTAACCCTCAAACAGGACAGCTGAATCGACAGGAGGGACCCACACCCACACCCACACCCACGCCGTCACTGTGGCATTAATAAGGTGTTGTGGCCTGTGTTTCTGTCGTTAACTGCAAGCGCTTTCCACACCTGCCAGGTATTGGTTCGTCCAGGAGGTAGTTCCCGCTGCCCCCTATCAAACTGGACACTCTGCTAATGGCCTTAGAGTGCAGCTCTCGAGTGAGAGTGTGTGTGCAGCAGTGCCTGGAGCCGGGGAATCACAATGTTAGAGGGGGGGACGGTATCCCTCTCTGAGGATTCTCCAGCTCCGAATTTATTGGCAACGTGCAAATATTCGGCCTCAGCTGCCGAGACTCCAAATTGATTCTCCCCGGCAGCTTAGCCAGCCGCCTGACCCACGTATATATGAGGGTGTGTGTTTGTAGTACATGCGTGTATGTGAGCCAAGGGCAATCCACTAGTATTGTGTCCTGCTCCCGAAACAAGCCTCAAACAAATGGTCGGCAGCTGGAAGGGAAGGGGCAAAGAAACGATGAGGGGGAAAACCAAAAAAAAACGGGAAAGAAACGAACCCAAAGCCTGCGGCCGGGACAAGCGAGACGGGATGGGGCCAGGCTAGGCCAAGCCAAGTCAAGCAGGACAATAGCTCGAGTAGCAAAAGAGAGGGAGAGTCCTGGAGGGAGAGAGAGACGGGTAGAGGGAGCTGCAGACATCGAGACATCCTCACCGCAGACACACTGGGGCAAAAAGCCATCAATAAATGGACCCAGAATTCCCCAAGAACCGAACCGAACTGAACCGAACTGATGGCTGATAAATTGAACAGTTCCCATTACCTTTTATAGTCAGCCATCTGGTGTGGCAAGTCGGTTTATGGATTTTATTGCCAAAACGAAATATCGGGCATCCAATTTGCATAAACTTAAGCGCTTAAATGGCGAAAGATGCTAAGAACAAATGTCTTATGTAATGATCTTAGCTTAGTGCAGAATAATAGATAAAGATAGAATAAGGATCTATATACTTTTCCCCTCTAACTCGACTAGTTAATCGTGCCTTATCAGACTCCTTTTTCGGGCAGTGCACAAACACAGATTTCCCATGCCTTGCCTGGACCTCTGATCCAGACCAAACGGAACCCAAATCAAGTCGGAGTACGAGGCTGTCCCACTAATTGGCGCCGCCGTAAGATGAAGGCGCAGCCTTGGAGTCACTGCCAGGTCAAGAATGGCCCTCAGGCTTTGTCCTGCCACGCCCCACGACCTTTTTTTCCCCTCTCCTCATTGTGCTTGCCTTGTGCTTTTCGCTTTCTGTATGCTGCTCCCGCTGGGAGATTTTTGAACTTGGACTACTATTCTCGGGGGGAATGGAAGTGGGAATGGGAATGGAAATGGCCTCGGGCACTAGGAGGAGGAGGAGCCTGTCCAACGATTCGGTTTCGGGTTACAAACTATGAACTGCGCTTAAGTCTGTTGACATCGCACACATGCCTGCGGTGACAGAGCCGACAAGAGTGGCCCAAGTAGTGGGAGGAGGGGGTGGGTGGTCAGTGGACACTGCCGAGTAGACTAGACATAAAATGGACACTGAATTGCCTGATTATACACGCTCAGTTGCTAATGATGGACCACTCAGAACAGAACATAACAGAACAGGCCCGGGCATGTCCAGAGGTCTGGTCTCAGAACCAGTCGAACGAATCCGTTCCGAGCAGAGAACTGAGGCGAAACCACGCCTAATGGCCCAACTGGCCAAGCGGTTGCGGTTGTGGGCCAGGCAGCTCTGCGGCTTGGGTGCCAACACACTCTCAGTGTGGATCGAGATGGAGGTGGTGAAGGAGAACAAAGATGGCCAACCTTAAGAGTCTCAGGTTGCCGGGCGCGCGCGCTGAAACCTTAGCTGGCACAAAATGCGGGTGTGGGTGTGGCACCAAACAATGAAAGGGGGTGAGAACACGGGACAACTACTTTGACGCATCACTTTGCACCAAAAGTTTCACCTTCCCAGCCCAACCAGCCAGCGAGTCGGTCCACCCCAGCCCTTTTTAAGCTGCCTGCCGTGTCAGCATCTGCGGAGTAATTTGACGTGGCTGTGACGCTGGCATCCTTGAGCGAAAATAAAGAGGAGGTGGAGCCGTTTCTAGCTTCTATACGCCCCTCTTAACCCTTCGTCCATCCTTTGTGCTGCTCAAATGAATCTGATTTATCTCGATGCCAAAAACAACAATAACAACTGATGCGGAATTTCAACAACGATGGAAAATGGAGTTAAGGAATCTTCTCATCTCTCATAAAAAGATTAATTAATACCCTGCCGAGGATATTTTCTATTTTAAAGGGCATTTTACAAGATACTTAATGCCGCTATATAAAAGAAAGTTTTTTAAAAACCATCGATCTATGGGAACTTTAGCTGAGATCGTTAAGAAAGAGATAATTCTATAGTTCAGCTAAAAAGTATGCTACTGTTTTCCTTTTACAAAGAAGGCAAGCCGTGGGAATCCTGTAGAATCAACGACAGCGTGTCCCGGGCCAGCTCTGCGGCTGAGTCAGCTAAGCTGGCATAGTTCGTACTTGTAAGTGCATGCCACACATGTCTGTATGTCCTTTAGGATGGCATGCTACCCACTCTGGGCCCTTGCCATGCCCAAGTGTGTCTATGTGTGTGTGTGTGTGTGTGTAGGTTGAATATTTCACGTGCAAAACTCATCTGACAAGAGCATGAAAAGCGAAAAATCATCTGGCAACACTTTGATATTCGATAAGATGTTTGGGCGCTCTCGTCGGCGCTTCCTTACGGATGTCCTTGCCGTCCTTGCTGTCCCCCCTGTCACCCTCCTGTCCGTCCCGCCGCCCTATTATTGTCGTCATGCGGGTTTCGGCTGTTCGGCTATCTCTGCGAGATAGGGTGACTGGAACTGGAACTGGGGAGTGGCACTGGGAGTGAGAGTGGGTGGCGATGAGGCCCCGTGACGTCAAGTTATAAAATATGAGACAAGTTCCCATCGGTCGACCCAAGCCTCGAGTTTAGTTTAGTTTAGTTCGTTTTGCTTTCCTTCACTCCTTGGCTCCTGTCGCCGCTTCTCGTGTTCTTGTTCTTGTTGTTGTTGTTGTTGTTATCCTGCCATGCATGGCATTTCTTTTTATTGGCATGCCACGCCCATGTCAGATCTGTGCGTATGCCTCTTAGGGTAAAGGGATGAGGGGTGGAGTGCGTGCGTGCGTGTGCGTGAGTGAGTGCGTAGGATGGCGGGGCTGGTGATGAGGTCACAGCTCTGAGCTCCAGAATTCGGAGTTAGGCTTAGTTACTTTATATTTATGGCATACGGATGTAAATACACAGTTATTTCCTCAAAATGGTCCCAAAAGGGGAGAAGTCCTTATGGTCCTTATGTTTTCTCCCTTTTTTTTTAAGCATTATTTATTAATGAAGGATTTGATGATACTCCACGAATTTATTGCCAACTTCAGACTTTACAGTTGAATATTTGTAAGCTGTTGTTATAACAGTGTCAGTTTTTTATCCTGGAAACTTAGACCAAGCGATGGCCCAAGAAAGTATGCTATACTTTTTGCCCAATAAAGTATGCTTTACTTTTTGGCCTACGATAGATTCGTAATCAATATGGAAAAGACCAAGTGCATCATCCAATAAAGAGAGACATTCATAACTGCCCGCCCGACATTGCAATTAGTTTGCCACAGGAATGAGTTGAGATTGCTTAATCGGCCGGAATTATCACGGCAAATATTTAATCGTGTGCACAAAATATGAATCCATTGGGCGCTGGCTTAGCAGGCAAACTTTTCCATCGATTGGCATGCGGGTTTTCTTCCAGATTCAGCCAGCTCTTCCTCATCCTGCGCCTTTCACCTCGCAACCTACTGCGAACCGAGTGTAATTCTACATTATCGAATGCGAGTCAAAGTGCTGGGACATACAGTACAGCTGCGACTCCTAATTGTGCTTTATGCCACTTCAGGACAACTCCTGGCGTCGCTGCGAAGTGGAAAACGGAAGCAGCCCGAAGTTGCCTGTGCACTGAAGATACACTTTCGAGGGCAGATAGATTTATGTGCTGCCAGTGTAGAGCTAGAGCGCCTGTCGGCACTTTTTCCACTTGCCTGCGTTGAACGCGTAATGTAAAAAGTTGCTCAAGAGTAGGGCGGGAGTTGCCGAAGGATGAGGGGATGCGGATGTGAAGTGGTTGGGCGACGCACACACGTGATTCCTCCTCTGCACTCTATCACTTGCATTGTTGGCAACTTGTGATAACTTGCGATAAAAACGAAGGCAATTGAATGATGCTTAAATGAAATTAATGGATGTTATAATAAGTTGACGGAGGCATCCCCCTTCCTATCACCATTCTCATTCCCATATTCCCCCCCACATTTCCTCGCCATGCCGCTCGCGGCGCTGCTGTCAGAGCAGACAAAGTCGAGCGAGGTCGAATGCGATGGGACTCAAAGCCGGAGCCTCAAAGTCACAGCTGACAGCTGTCAGCTGACTCCTGCTCTGGTACAACAATCAGCTCTCGCTCCCGCTACCGCTCCTGTTCCTGCGGGGCAGCTCCTTTGCCAGTCAAATTGGGGCGAAGCTGTGTCAAAATTCAATTTGCACATTACAAAAAGCCTGGTTGTTCGCCGCCCCGTTCCTCCATGTTGGGTGGCAGCACAATTTTCAACTCCCTCGGCCACCACTTCCGGATGGAGTCCTTCGGTGGCGCCACATTACAATTTCGAGCAGAGGACGGGCCGACCTTGATGATTTGCCGCTTACCTCGACACGCTCTCCGCATTACCTGCCATACTATAAGCACTTCGGGGCCTGGATTAATCCCGATATGAGTGTGATTTCTGGCCAGCTTCAGTTCCTGCCCGAGACCCCTGCTGTGGCCACAGGAGCCAGAGCTCGACACTTGCTAATGCAATTACAGGGTGCCTAATGCACGCAATTAAATTCGTAATGGGCCGGGCCGGAGGAATCAAAAATGCTCCATTAAAACGAAATTAAATTTCAGGAGGGCAGGGCAGAGCAGGGCAGGGCAGAGTAGGGGCAGGGCAAGAGTAGGGGTTGTGCCCTGTCCGGGCCTAATTCCGTTAAGTGAATTTCCATTCTCGGTTAAATGCGAACAAAGGTTCACAATTTCCAGACCCCTCGCCCTCCGCATTTCAATCTAGCATCGGGCCATCGGTCCATCAGACCATCGGGCCATCGCCCATCGATCCATCATTCCGAGTGTGCGGTTGCGTATCCTTGGCACTAGGCCTATGCCATTGCCCCATACCTATACATCCTGCCATCCTGCTATCCATATACGTATCTCTGCAGCTATATATATATATCTGCGGCTTCGAATCCATCCGGGTGAGTCCCGACATGGAAATGGTAATTGAATGCAGGGACACTGCAAGACGTCTGCCGACAGGAATGAAAATTAGCAGACCTCTGCTCCGGCCACTCCTCAGTTAACCGAACCCACATCCTAGCCCCCCTAAGCAGCGATGGAATGCAGGGAGCAGAAGTAAAGTGATGAAAAAGTTAATTAAACTTTTTGATGAGATTTCACATTTTGCCAAAGCATTGACAGAAGACTGACAGTCCTACAGGGGGGGGCGGGGGGTGCGAGAACAGGGGTTATCGCACGTTCCCTAGGACTTGACAATGTCTTATCATCGATTTCACCTCCCCCTTCCTAGCCCTAACCTATGGGTGGCAAAACTTCCGAAATTGTCTTTGGTCACTGATGAACAATGGCATCGGCATTGACAGAGTCATGACACCCAGTTCCGCACCCTCCACCGCCGCTTCCTTTCGAGCCAATGGAGATTGCATATGAATTAATTACCATGCGGTTGCCGCGGCGGAGGAAGCTCAGCTCTAAAGCCAGGACGCCACTTCTCGTCCCTGGCAACACCGCAGGTCCTTAAAGTAGGTCAATTAGCTAGTAGGCCTCAGCGGTGGCAGAGTGGCGCGTGCAGCTGAAAAGAATCCGCGTCGGCGTAGCCCTCAAACCTCGCCCACCGCATCCTGGTGTTCAGTTTTAAGGGCTCGCTCCCACGGCCCCAACCTAACCGCACTTGGCAGCCCAATAAAAGGTTCCCACTACTCCACAATGTGGCACCACCCAATCGTAAAACAAGTTCGGAAGGTGGCTAATCTGCAATTAATTGCCTCACATCTGTACACAAGACACGCACGAGCTGAGATTGAGATTTTGATTGGGAGTGGGAGTGGGAGTGGGATTAGGTTTAGGATTAGGAAGCTGTTTTGCGATAAGCTTACTCGGTCAGATATACAAATGAACAGAGATGAAAGTGCACTAAGGGACTTGGAGAATACTTCCGACTACAGCTTTCTATTACTAGTTAACAGAATTTCAGGATTTTCCTTAAAGAAAGTCTCTAGTCCTGGCCATCTTTAAAGCCAATCCTTGCCATGCCACACCCATTAATCACTCCTCACATTTTAAACCCCTCTAACCAGCTAATGATAATCATATTTCATTGCCCACCAGCCATCCTCAGCACTTTGTGCAAGGAGTTCCTGCGCGTGAACGTGTCGGCCATCCTGTACATGATGAACAACGAACAGTTCGGTCATAGCACCGCCTCGGCTCAGTACTTTCTGCAGTTGGCCGGCTACTTGGGCATTCCGGTGATCTCGTGGAATGCCGACAATTCGGGTCTGGAACGGCGGGCCTCCCAGTCAACGCTGCAGCTACAGCTGGCACCGAGCATCGAACACCAAAGCGCCGCAATGCTGAGCATCCTGGAACGCTATAAATGGCATCAGTTCTCGGTGGTCACCTCGCAGATAGCCGGTCACGATGACTTCGTGCAGGCAGTAAGGGAACGCGTGGCCGAAATGCAGGAGCACTTTAAGTTCACCATCCTCAACTCCATCGTGGTCACCCGTACCAGTGACCTTATGGAGCTGGTCAACAGCGAGGCGCGTGTGATGCTGCTCTATGCCACGCAGACGGAGGCCATCACCATCCTGCGTGCCGCCGAGGAGATGAAGCTCACTGGCGAGAACTACGTTTGGGTAGTCAGCCAGTCGGTGATCGAGAAGAAGGATGCCCACTCTCAGTTTCCTGTCGGCATGCTTGGCGTGCACTTTGACACCTCCAGTGCGGCACTCATGAACGAAATCTCCAACGCCATCAAGATCTACAGCTACGGCGTGGAGGCCTACTTAACGGATCCGGCCAACCGTGACCGCCGCCTCACCACCCAGTCGCTGTCCTGCGAGGACGAGGGTCGTGGTCGCTGGGACAATGGAGAAATGTAAGTCCTGATCCCAGAGCTATGCATGCTAGCCTCTAGTTTAGACCTAGATTTACCCCGATTCCGCATAATATGGCTGTATTTCCCGGTGGCGATATGTTTAAAATTTAAGAAAGAGCAAAAAAAAGTTGATGATTCCAATCCTTGTAATGGTAGTAAAGAATCCCGTAGTCATAAAAGAGCTCTGGGGACTCCTGTTAACCGTATGGTCTCTTCCCCAGCTTCTTCAAGTACTTGCGGAATGTCTCCATCGAGGGGGATCTGAACAAGCCGAACATTGAGTTCACAGCGGATGGGGACCTGCGCTCGGCGGAGCTCAAGATCATGAATCTCCGGCCAAGTGCCAACAACAAGAACCTGGTGTGGGAGGAGGTAAGTGGAGGCTTTGCTCGCATGCTTTTCTCAATCCTTTCTCACGTTTCCACTCTCCTTACGCTCACTCTCCTTGCTCCACTCTGATCCACGATCCACGATCCACGATCCACGATCCACGACCCAATCTAATCCATCTCAACCCGCACCGATCAATCGATCTTGCACCGCTTTGTACTTATGCTACCACCTCGATCCACCTCGATCTACCTCGATCCACTTGGTCCACGACTCCAATTGGGGGGCAGATTGGAGTGTGGAAGTCCTGGGAAACGCAAAAGCTGGACATCCGCGACATTGCGTGGCCCGGCAACTCGCACGCCCCGCCCCAGGGCGTGCCGGAGAAGTTCCATTTGAAGATCACATTCCTCGAAGAGGCACCCTATATCAATCTGTCGCCCGCGGACCCGGTGAGTGGCAAGTGCCTGATGGACCGCGGTGTGCTCTGCCGGGTGGCGGCCGACCACGAAATGGCCGCCGACATCGACGTGGGCCAGGCACACCGCAACGAGTCCTTCTATCAATGCTGCAGCGGCTTCTGCATCGACCTGCTGGAGAAGTTTGCCGAGGAGCTGGGCTTCACCTACGAGCTGGTGCGGGTCGAAGATGGTAAATGGGGTACCCTCGAGAATGGCAAGTGGAACGGCCTGATCGCCGACCTAGTCAACCGCAAAACGGACATGGTCCTCACCTCGCTGATGATCAACACGGAACGCGAAGCGGTCGTCGACTTCTCCGAGCCGTTCATGGAGACCGGTATAGCCATCGTGGTGGCCAAACGCACGGGCATCATCTCGCCCACGGCATTTCTGGAGCCCTTCGATACGGCATCCTGGATGTTGGTAAGTCTTGCTCCTTCCACCGTATCTCTCCATCTGTTCAGGCAACTCACGGGTAAGTGTTTCTTGTTCCTCTTTCTCTCTCGGCTCTCTCTCCTGTGCCCAATGCCAGGTGGGCATAGTGGCCATCCAGGCGGCAACCTTCATGATCTTCCTGTTCGAATGGCTCTCGCCCAGCGGCTACGACATGAAGCTCTACCTGCAGAACACGAACGTGACACCGTACCGCTTCTCCCTGTTCCGCACCTACTGGCTGGTGTGGGCCGTCCTCTTTCAGGCCGCAGTCCATGTGGACTCGCCACGCGGCTTTACCTCTCGCTTCATGACCAACGTCTGGGCCCTTTTCGCTGTGGTATTCCTGGCCATATACACTGCCAACTTGGCCGCCTTCATGATAACCAGGTAAGCTGGGCTCTTCAAGACAACGTACTCTACCTCTGAGAGCACTTTCTAACCTACAGGGAGGAGTTCCACGAGTTCAGCGGTCTCAACGACAGCCGTCTGGTGCATCCCTTCTCCCACAAGCCCTCCTTCAAGTTCGGAACCATCCCGTACAGCCACACAGACTCCACCATCCACAAGTACTTCAACGTCATGCACAACTATATGCGGCAGTGAGTAGCTTAAGTGGTTTAGCCTGGAGTTCCCCTTCATCCCCCAACATCTTCTTCTTCAGGTACAACAAGACCAGCGTGGCCGATGGAGTGGCCGCCGTGCTTAATGGCAACCTGGACTCCTTCATCTACGACGGCACTGTGCTTGACTATCTGGTGGCCCAGGACGAAGACTGCCGGCTCATGACCGTGGGCAGTTGGTATGCCATGACGGGTAAGGCCTCCTCTGACTTCTCTTCTCCACTGCCATCCAAAGTCTTTATGTCATTACTCATTGTTTTGGACTTTTGATTTTCATCAAGAGTTATTATTTAATTCATTTTCACCCCCACACACAGCAGCATCCATTAGCTGTTAAACTATGGAAACGACTTGGCTAAAAGTTGCAGCCCATCAAATTATGGCTGGCAAAACTTTCGCCCTGTTTGCCAAGCTTGCCCTGCCAACACTTGTTTAGCCTGTAAACAATATCTGTAATATGTCGCTTAAACATGGCCTTAAATTAGTGACAATTATTAGTCTTTTTTCGCATTTTTGATCTACTTCGATGGCTGTAATTTACGGTTTTGGCCCAAATTTTTTTGCTTCAGGCTACGGACTGGCATTTAGCCGCAACTCCAAGTACGTGCAGATGTTCAACAAGCGACTGCTTGAGTTCCGGGCGAATGGGGATTTGGAGCGGCTGAGGCGATACTGGATGACGGGCACGTGCCGACCGGGAAAGCAGGAGCACAAGTCCTCGGACCCGCTGGCCCTCGAGCAATTCTTGTCCGCCTTCCTGCTACTGATGGCCGGCATTTTGCTGGCGGCGCTGCTCCTGCTACTGGAGCACGTCTACTTCAAGTATATCCGTAAGCGACTTGCCAAGAAGGACGGCGGCCACTGTTGTGCCCTCATCTCGCTGTCCATGGGCAAGTCGCTGACATTCCGCGGGGCTGTATTCGAGGCCACTGAGATCCTTAAGAAGCACCGCTGCAACGACCCCATCTGCGACACGCACCTCTGGAAGGTCAAGCACGAGCTGGATATGTCTCGTTTGCGGGTCCGCCAGCTGGAGAAGGTCATGGACAAGCATGGCATCAAGGCGCCGCAACTGAGGTGAGTGCCCACCAGAACTTCGGGGTTCCCGACTAGTCCCAGTGTACCCATTCCTAATGCCCTTCCTTTTTGCAGGTTGGCCTCCTCCTCGGACCTGCTGAACCATCATCATCTTAAGGAGCGACCGCCGCTGCTGGGCAACCTGAGTCTCGCCGCCAGCGCTCAAGATCTATACAGGTGGTAAGTTTTCTTTGTGCATGCCTTTTCCTGCACGAGTTCCTGCACCCAGACCCAGACACCCGCCTCCCTGGATGTTCCCCCCATCTCCCGTGGCTGTAATTAAATTAAGCAATTGCTTGAGATAACATTCCAGCTCGGTTCAGAGTTCTTTTTTTTCCCCCGGAACGGACCGGGACTCGTTACTGGCCACGCTAATGATGCCGGGCAGCTGCTACAACACCCCACACGTCTCCCCTTGGGGCATTTCTCTGGTTTCTGCCCTAATATAAATATATGGAAATGACTTTATTAAATTACTTTATCTCGGTTCCTGATTCAGCAGACACTGTGTGGTGGCAACGGTGGCGGCGGCGGGAGGTTGTGTGGCCCATTCCCAACTCCATGTTGATGCCCATTCCCAAGTCCTTGCCCACAAACGCAGAACATAGAGACCGTTCCTGGTTATAGTCTTTAGTTATAGCACAATTTCCGACAGTTCCTGTTGTCATTCATGGCAGCACAGAAGGGCTGTGGCTGTGGCTGTAGCTGTGGCAAAGGAGCTTTGCCTTTGTGTGAAGTGACTGTGAGGAGATTGTGTAGGTCCATCCATTTGCATATCGTCCACAATGGGTCGGGCCCCGGCCAGGTAATCGGATGTGGGAACGCTTTACGACCATCCCCAGTCCGGCTACGAGTTCGGCCACAGTCCCCCCCGTCCCCCAAACACACAGCTGACTGCAACCCCTTGGCAGCAGGACCAGCAATTAACGGATCAGGGTAGTACTGACACCCGGCAGCCAGCAGCCAGCAGTCGGCATCCACATTATCGTTTCCATCTCCACCGGCATTGGAAGCAGCCACCCCCTTTCTGGTCAGCCAGCCAGGTCAGTCAGGCAGTCAGTCAATCACTCACTCGTCCATCCCGGCAACACAAACACATTTTTGTGTGGGGCCAACACCTTTATCTGTGCAGCTCCACCACACCACCTGGCTACCCACCACCACCACCTCCGATTCAGGGGTCGGTTTCTGTCCCGGTTGCCCAGCTTAGGAGCGACTTTGCGGTGCTCCACTATGCACCACTCCCAGCCATCCAACGAGCCTTGCGGATTATAAATCTGTGCGGGACGCTGCTAGCACTGAGGTAAAAAGGCTAAGCTTCGCTTAATGCTGATCAACCTGAATAGCCGCTATCCAGCATTTGAGACTTGAACGGTTTGCAGTTATATATTAGATATATATAATAACTTTTGTATTTATAGAAAACAAGTCTGTTAACGCCGTAAGCGATTTACTTTGTACAAGTGAAGGCTTTCAATTCCCAGGGTGTTCGCTGATCCCAGCATTTGGCCCTGGAGTTTTCTCCTGATTTTAGCCTCGGAATTCTTCTCATAGCAAAGCCAATAATGGTCGGAATATGGAATGTCATACATCGCTGGATTCGTAATTAAAAATACCGTCGAACTGTGTTCACGCTTTAATAAGTCAAAATTTTGAGTTTTTCGCTAATTTTGATGATGTTACCCCTTATCGAAAATGCGAAATTTGGTTTATCCCGATTTACCCCTAAAAATGATTGTGTCCTTCCCATAACTTAGCCAATATTGGTACAAATAATGAATGTTATACATCGTTGAGTTTGCTTCTTAATTCCTAGTCGATCTGTGTACCCACCTTGAAAAGAATAATTTTCGTCATTTTTCGAAAATTTTGATGATGTTACCCCTTACAGAAAATCCCAAAAAATTAAAATATACAAAATTGTCAATCGAATGATGAGGAAAGTTAGTTTTGGTCGTTAGCTTCACAAAGCAGTCTTTGTTTTGACTGTATGCCTGGTTTTTGCAAAGTTATAGGTATAAAAATGATTAAGAATATCAGTCCAAAGCCTCTGCTGTCAACCGACGTATACGTGATTTTGGGCTCAAAAAAATCAGTTATTTGGCCATAGCACTGCCAAAAATGGTCCAAATGAGGAAAGTAATACCTCGAAAGGCTCGTAATTTGATTGCCATGATTCCCAATTGATTTGCATTCAAATCTGGGAAACTTCATTTTTGGCCGATTTTTGAAAATTTTGATGATGGTACCCCTTATCAAAAATGCGAAATTTGGGCCAAAATTTATTTTCCCAAAATCGAAAAACGAGTGATAGGGGTGGTAAGGGCTGGTCGTTAGCAGCACGAAACAGTCGTTCCTTTGGCTGTGCGTCCTGTTTTGACCGAGCTAGAGCTAACAACCCGCAATAAAAGTTGCGAATTTCTGTTAAAATTCGGTTTCCTGATTTTTCAGACCTTAAAACAGAGCTCTCACCAAAAAATCAGAACAATTATAGCAAAACCAAGTATAGGGGTGTTAAGTTTCGGTAGTTAGCTGCACAAAACAGTAATTGTTTTAGCTATGCGACTTGTTTTGACAAAGTTAAAGCTAAGAAACTTCAGCAATCCCGGGCTTCCTGCTGTCAAACGACGTATACGTGATTTTGGGCACAAAAAATCAGTTTTCTTGGCATAGCACAGCCAAAAATGGTCCAAATGAGGAATGCAATACCTCGTACGGCTCGTAACTTGATTGCCATGATTCCCAATTGGTTTGCATTCAAATCTGGGAAACTTAATTTTTGGCCATTTTTTGAAAATTTTGATGATGGTACCCCTTACCAAAAATGCGAAATTTGGGCCAAAATTGACTTTCCCAAAATCGAAAAACGAGTGATAGGGGTGGTAAGTGTTGGTCGTTAGCAACACAAAACAGTCATTCTTTCGGCTGTGCGTCTTGTTTTGACCGAGCTAGAGCTAAAATCCTGAACATAGTATTGCAAATTTCTGTTAAAAATAAATTTCTTGCTTTTTTGGCTATTAAATCAGCCTTCGCAGCAACAAATCAGAACAATAACGCAAAAAGAAAGTATAGGGCTGTTAAGTTTCGGTAGTAAGCTGCATAAAACAGTCCTTGTTTCAGCAGTGCGTCTTGTTTTGACAAAGTTACAGCTAAGAAACGGCAAAAAAGCCGGCCTTTCTGCTGTCAACCGACGTATACGTGATTTTGGGCACTAAAAAATCAGTTATTTGGCGATAGCGCAACCAAAAATGGTCCAAAGAGGAATGTAATACCTCGTAGGGCTCGTAACTTGATTGCCATGATTCCCAATTGGTTTGCATTAAAATCTGGGGAACTTCATTTTTGACCATTTTTTGAAAATTTTGATGATGGTACCCCTTATCAAAAATGCGAAATTTGGGCCAAAATTTATTTTCCCAAAATCGAAAAACGAGTGATAGGGGTGGAAAGTGCTGGTCGTTAGCAGCACAAAAAAGTTATTCTTTTGGCTGTGCGTCTTGTTTTGACCGAGCTAAAGCTAAAAAGCCGGAAAAAATATTCAAAATTTCAGTCAGAAATGGGTTTATCGATTTTTAGCCATTAAATCACAGCTCACTTCAAGAGAATCAGATAAATAAAGATAAAAGTAAGTACAGAAGTTTAAAGTTTTGGTTCTTATCTGCATAAAACAGTCATTGGTTAAGACATGCGGCTTGTTTTGACAAAGTTAGAGCTAAGAAACGGCAAGGAAACCGGAATCTTTGCTGCCAAAAAACCTTTACGTGATTTTGAGCACCAAAAAATCAGTTTTTTTTGCATAGCACAGCCAAAAATGGTCCAAATGAGGAATGTAATACCTCGTAGGGCTCGTAATTGGATTGCTATGATTCCCAATTGGTTTGCATTCAAATCTGGAAAACTTAATTTTTGGCCATTTTTTGAAAATTTTGATGATGGTACCCCTTATCAAAAATGCGAAATTTTGAAAAAAATTTAAATTCACAAAATCGTCAAACCAATGATAAGGAAAGTTTGTGTTGATCGTTAGCTTCACAAAACAGTCATTCTTTTGGCTGTGCGCCTTGTTTTGACTTAGTTATAGGCATAAAGCCGATAAACAATATTGCTATTTTCTATCAATAGTGAAAATCATAATTATTGCCTAAAAAATCAGTCTTTTGACTATAACAAACACTGAAAAAGATTCATGTATCGTATGTTATATCCCCTTTGAAGGTTTTGTACCAAATCGTGGCAAACCCTTTTAAGTAGGCAACATATTTTGTTTCAGAAACTAATCCTTGTAACACAATATTATTCCCATGTTATTATAGCTAATGTTTTACTATTTCTGGCCCATTTCCGTGTTCCCACCCACTGTAATGGCGTGAATGCTTAGGAGCCACACCAACGGGCACACAGAGCGACATTTCCATTAATTACTGACAAGTAAACAGTCCGAGAGATTTGCCAACCAAATGCGGTGTTAGTGGGTTGAAGTGGGGCGTTAGGCATGGCCGAACAGGTGGAGTGTTATTCTCTGTGGTTGTCCGTGTCCATGTGCAAGCCCGTTGTCCTTCGCCCATTGACCATTCCCGTATATGCTGTGTGCATTCTGGCGTTCCAAGATGTATCCAACGCTGCGAATGAATAGTTATTTATGTCGGCTTTCGCTTCCCGCCTAAGCTCCATGGTGGACTTTGGTTTGGGTTTGGGTTAAGGCTCTTCCTCGCTACCAGCATACAGCATCCTGCATCCTGGATGTGGGGAATGTGTGCATAAACTTAGGGCTGCTCAACGCTCATCATTATGGATGGCAGCGAATCTGTTACCTCGAACGCAGGTTTCCCTCTGACTTTTGGCCCTCACGTTGAACGGGCAACAATAAAACTTTTCCGCGAATTGTGCAAATTAAGTTGGAGGAACGGGATCCGCTCCAAATTTGTTAAGCAAAACACTCGTGCGGATGCTACTGCACAAGCGTTTTACACTCCGCGGGATAACCGGGGGAAAAACACTTCAAAGTCGAACATGAAAGTTAAGCTTGGAGCCGGAGTCTGGGCCATGAGGGCTGATGAATTGATGATGGATAACGGACAGCGATGATGCCCAAGGGAAAACGGCAAACCCTTTATCGGAATGGAGCACCTGTCCGATCGTGTGACGGGGTCATCACTGCCAGGCAGGCAGCACACACACACGCCTTGTTGCTCCCCTTTGATGATTCGCTTTTCGCATTTACTTTTTGGCACTAATTTATTTACATGCGAACCCTTGAGTGCTCGTTTCGTTGGACTCTGATTGATTGATGATGCCCGAGTCGTAGAGTCCCTCTTTTTACTCTGCCCCATGCCCCCTGCCCCCCTTTTTGAAAACCCGCATTCCCGTAGTAGTTTCAGCCGTTTCTCCACCATTATAGCTAATGTTTTTGATTCTACCCGGCAACATCCTCACACACACTGAACATGGCACTCGCCTTGACACACATATCCGCATTTGTTGGCTATCGGAGCCGCTGCCAGTTATCCAGTTTCCCACCCAGCCCCTATCCATCTCCCATATCTCAACCCCAAGAGAGCCTGATTACAATTTGTCACATTTTTCATTGGCTGGCAGGCTAATTAGCATTGCCCACAACGCATGTCCTGCACCACTTTATCCGTTAAGCATGCTTGGTGTAAAGTAGCAGTTGCATATATATGTATATAGTAGATATATAGTATGTGTTCTGAATCCTTCAACTAACATTTGGGGCCAACCCCATTCTCTATCCCCCCCCAAAATGGATGATCGTAGGTCGTACAAGACGGAAATCGCCGAGATGGAGACGGTGCTCTGAAGCGTTAGGAGCTGGATTAATAAGTGGAACTGCTGCTCAACCTAGAGGCACATCGTTATTAGTGTTACTGGCAGAGTGGACAGAGTGCATGCAATCCTAGAGCGAGCGAGTACGTCTAATCAAAATCAACGTTTCAAATAATATATGTAAACTGAAAGCTTTCGAAAGTTAGAGACAGGGAGATGATACGAGATAGAAATCGAAAGATAAAGAGAACCCAAAGCGCCTCACGAAAACCGCACACAACTCAAAAATCGAGAATCAAGAACGACAAGTAGCCGAGATCCACATCCTAGAACAAAACAAAACCAAAAACCACAAAGATTGTATAAAGTTAAACTAAATGTAAAACAGTAAAACCAAAACAGTTAATCTAAATGGAACCCGAAGGAAGAAACAACCAAAACAGCAGCCGCCGCACTAATATTTCATAAAATAAGTTTTAAAATAAAAAAAAGATCAAGAGGTACTACTATACGAAGAAGGAGATAAAGAAGTAGAAGCAGAAGCAGAAGCAGAAGCAGCAGAAGCTGGGGAGATCAACCGTTACATTTTTGGCGATTGAACTGTTAACCGTTAACAAGATGGCAAAGAAGAAGAAGAAGAAGTAGAAGAAGAGGGATAGTAGACAACCCAGTGTTGGTCATGTTTGTATGTAATCCGTTTGATTGTTTGTGATTGTTGTTCCGTTTGTTGTCTTTTTTTGGATAGTAAATATTTACGAAATCATACTGAAGTAAGCGTATGTGTGGCCAGATGGCATACACTCATACATACCAACTTACGAGTACTTACATACATACATAGAAACGAGCAGGCAGGAGGAGAAGCGGCGCCGGTTGCCACGCCCATTATTAAATATACACATTAACAGATTTATATGTATTTACCTTGCTATGATTACGACGATATAAATGTTATTGCATATACACGTACATATACATATACATATACATTTAAAGAACAAAACAAGAAATATTTACATATGAATATACATGTATGTACTTATATTTTTTCTGATTTTGATAAAGAAATTGCTTATGTGCCGCTAAAAACAAACCGAAAAAACAAAAAACAAAACGACAAAAAAAAAGAAGAGAAAACCCAAAATATATAAATGCAAGGGGCGAAAACGAAATTTTCATCTCGCTAGGAGATAACCACACGACCACTAAACCAAGGCTTCATTTTAGTTGCTCCTTTCCGCTTAGCTGCGTTCTTTTGTTTCTTTTCACTTTCACTTTCATTTCGCTTGCTCGCCGAGAGAGAACTCCCTACCCCACACCACCCAATACCACCTTTATCCTCATCATCCTGGCCAGGAGAAAAATCAAATGAGACTTTCGCTTGCTAGTTCGACTCTCTTGCATGTGGCCTAAAGTTAATGTAAACTCTCTCTCCCTCTCTCTCTCTCTCTCGCAGTCACAATTCACCCACACTCACATAACTAGAAGAAGATAAAAAATATTATAAATGTGCATTGTTGTTGTGGCGAGGAAAAACGTGCTTAAATCAGATTTAAAGTAATCTTGAAATCGAATTAAATATGTACAAAGGTTAAACGATTAAACGCATGAACTTAAAAACAAAAAAACTAAAAACGCGACGTAAATAATGAACGAATTAACTAAAGAATCTGAGGCGTTGTATTGTGTTGGTATTTGTTTATGTGTGTCTTCTAAATGTTTAGCGAGGATTACCAATACTCAAAGCAAGCGCGAAACGTAAATGTAAAAGAAAAATTGTAACTAACTAACTAATGCAACTTTAAACACACAAAAACACTCACACACACATTCACTAGTACAGCAACCAAACATGCACAGCCATTATTTAGCTGTGTGTGTGCTTCTTTTAGACTCTTTTCGTTAACGCCATCTCTGTTCAATTAAACCGTTATGTTCCCCGCCCATGCCTCAACCGTCGTTAAAAACGACGAGAGCGGTGCGAGCGAAGACGGCAACTGCAAACACAACACTACAAAAACAACTAGAACACTTGACTAACGGACAAAACTGAATAACGGACTAACGAGTAAACCGTAACATCAGCGAGAGCTGACACAAACAAAAACAACAACAAGAACAATGTTAACAGCAAAACATGAAAACAAAACAAAGAAACTTATTGAGTTTTATTTGCAAAAGAGTGATTTTTTGTAGTGGAAATATTTTATACACAAGTTACGAATGAATGGTTCGAGGACATAGGAGGACATAGCGAAATGTTAATTATTACGTACATATATGTATATATTTTTTAAGACAAATTGTTCAAATTTATTATACGAGTACTAACAAAACCAAACAAAAAGCGAGTCAAAAACCAAAGCTAAGCCACAACTGGAAAACGATGTTGCAGACAACAATTTAGTATTAAAACGATTGAGGGGAGGGAGCGATGAAGAGCAGGACGAGGAAGAGAAGTGAAAACAAAACCTTTACGGACAAATTAAAACAAGTAAAACAAGTTAACATTACATTATATAAGTAGTTAGTAATTTAAAACTAAACCCAAAGAAAATAAGCTAAACATCACGACAAATGATACTAAAGGCAAAGAAAAAAAGGTTTATGTATACAAAAAGATGTTTTTTTTTTAAATATATTATTAATGTTATTAAGTTACAAGTGCGAATAATGAGCGTACACACAGTCACACTGTCCAGACACTCACACCAACACGAATAACGGTGCATTTTGTTAGGTGTTTAACATAAATACAAACATACATACATGAAAAGCAAAGGAGATAAAAAACAAAAAGAATCATAAACACGAATCGAAATCGAATCAATTTTTAAACGCAAAAATATATCTCCTCGAACATAACGAATATCGAATACAGTATTTGAATTCAGCCGGTGAATTTGAATATAAACTAATGTCGATCGCCCACACTTGTCCACACCTGAGCGAAGGAGCGAACGGGACGGCACGTCGGCCGGTCGTATTTCAAGTTACTAACACGACAAAATTTTTTAACCACGCCAGCGGATTGAGATAAGAAGCGTTTCACGTACATAAACTAAGCAAATGGAATATGCGTACATTGTTGTGGTAGTTACAGATGGCGAGGAGAATACACGTAAATTAAAATATAAACAAACCAACTTGCAATAAATGTGTATACAAAACGTGTCGGTCTTTCATTTTAGGTTATATAGAGTAATGGTAAATAGATATTTATAGAAACACTTACCCAGGTTTGGTAATATATTTCGCTCCTTGTATTAAAACACTGAAATTCACCTCGTTTTTAACGCGGCGACGCGTCGAAAATATCGTAAAAAGCTAATGGTAGTATGACATCGTCCCGCACCCGATACAACTACCACGTAAATATCGATAACAACTACTTAAGCAGAGTGTGACTGCATACGCTCCACACCAAAATACCGCAAAAATACCAAAAGTAGTGCGGAAAAAAACACCGATATCGGACCAGCGCTAACCTCATCGCACCCGACCCGGAAATCGTCCATTTTGTCAAAACTCCCAGCGGCATCTAGACGTAAGTAATCAAACCGCTCCCAGTGGCTCCAGCATGGCAATGTTTTGTGTACAAATTGATGATAGCCATCAAGATTGGAGACTCAGAATTGAGCAAAGTCATCACATTGCCACCTTTTAACTACCACGATTCCGGGCCAACTGCATCTGCACGTGGAGCACCCGTATTTCAGGTTATGGAAACTAACATGCGCTTTTTCACCCGTAGGTCCGTAACTCTTTCCACGTTAACATGTCGGGAGGCTTAGATATTCTGTCCCTCAAGGAGGACGACATCACCAAGATGTTGGTGGCCACCACTCATCTGGGCTCTGAGAACGTCAACTTCCAGATGGAGCAGTACGTGTACAAGCGCCGTGCTGATGGCGTGAACATCCTGAACCTGGGCAAGACCTGGGAGAAGCTGCAGCTGGCTGCCCGTGCCATCGTTGCCATTGAAAACGCTTCTGATGTAAGTATAATTTCGGGGAAGCATGCTTTCCAAGAGCAGCGTGGCTAACATGATGAGTTTGTTACTAATCTTTCGGGTATGAAATTCAATGATTTCAACTTCACCGCTGACCAGCCACGCTGCAAAACCAATGCAGCATAAGGATTATCCATAACCTCCGCAAGACAAAGCATCTGCTAATTAACCTTTTTCTCTTTTAGGTTTTCGTCATCTCGTCGCGTCCCATCGGCCAGCGCGCTGTGCTGAAGTTCGCCAAGTACACGGACACCACTCCCATTGCTGGCCGTTTCACTCCCGGTGCTTTCACTAACCAGATCCAGCCCGCTTTCCGCGAGCCGCGTCTGTTGGTGGTGACCGACCCCAACACCGATCACCAGCCCATCATGGAGGCCAGCTACGTTAACATCCCCGTGATTGCCTTCACCAACACTGACTCACCTCTGCGTTACATCGATATTGCCATTCCATGCAACAACAAGTCGGCCCATTCCATCGGTCTGATGTGGTGGCTTCTGGCCCGTGAGGTGCTCCGCCTGCGTGGAACTATCTCTCGCAGTGTTGAGTGGCCCGTCGTTGTCGATCTGTTCTTCTACCGCGACCCTGAGGAAGCTGAGAAGGAGGAGGCCGCCGCCAAGGAGCTCCTGCCACCACCCAAGATCGAGGAGGCCGTCGACCATCCGGTCGAGGAGACCACCAACTGGGCCGATGAGGTGGCCGCCGAGACTGTCGGTGGAGTGGAGGACTGGAACGAGGACACCGTCAAGACCTCCTGGGGCAGTGATGGCCAGTTCTAAGAAATCCGTGCCACAGATGACACTACACCAGCACATTGGGTTGTCAGGCGCCTCTGCCGCGGCATAAATAAACATCTTTTGTTTATATCTAAACACCACATGTTTTTTAATTTTTATGGCTGGTGACTTGAATAACCAGGTGTTTTTGTTTTGGTTTAAATCACAATGAGTTAGTGCAGGATAACATCTGGCATTTTACAAATTATAGTCTGAAAGTCTTTAAAAATTCGTATATATCTAGCTTAGGTGGAGAAATTATTGACTTATACTTTCGCTTAGCTAGCTTGCAGTCTTCCGTCATGTGATTTGCGCGAGTTTTCTGTCCTATGATAAATGATTAATACACAAGGGTGTTCGTTATTTATACCATTGATTTTTGTGCCATAGCCACTGCCAGAATCAGGTTACTCCTCTCCAAAGACTACAATTATGTTGATTTATTTCTTGAGGAGGAATTGCATGAGCCAGAACCAGGTTACTCCACTCCAAAGACTACAATTATGTTGATTTATTTCTCGAGAAGGAACAGAATGTTACTGCCAGTCACCAAATGACTTTCTTAAGTTATAGCTGCTCCGATTAGAGGGAGAAAGGCAACTTCAAACTGCCTTTGCAGAAAAGGACAGAAAATAATAAACTAATCCCATGATATGGATCTTGTTCAATTTACAGTATTAATTTATTGTTTTTTTTCGGCTTTGTACAAATAGAAAACAGTTAAAGATAGCAATTGCAAATTGCTTATATTGTATACATAATTCATATAGTTTTATCCTCCCGTCAAACATACAATTTTAGTTTGGTTTCTTATCCGCCAAAAAAAAAGGTAACGAAATACGCGTTAATGTAAAAGTAATGTTAGAGACAAAAATTGTGTTAATCTGGTAAAACTATATATGTATCGGTATAAACACATTTATATGTAGCAGCGACTTTACATCATTCAAATTTGGACAAAGTTATCAAATGGTTGGTAGTCGACTGGTTCCATCGAGCACTATTTAAATGGATTTGGACGCGCCTTGAATACCGTCATCTTGCGTATCTCCTTAATCTCCTCCTGCTCGCATCTCTTCCGTTGTTCGTCTTGCTGCAAAGGCAAAGGCGTAGATAATTACGGATTAGCTTGATTTTATATAACATATATATGCGTTTTGTGTTAATCAGTGCAGTTCTATGTAAGATGGGACGATGACAGCTGCATAGCATTCTAATTACGACTGGGCTTTACATACGCAACCTTTGATTCGAGCCGAGACTGGGATGACTGGCCGCCTGACTCATCCGCCGCTCGGAGACGCTCCCACTGACTGTCTAACCCTATCGGTTGTTTTTTTCCTGCTGAGTCACGGCGGGAGTTTCAGCCCGATAAGCCAGCCTTGGGACTGGGCGGCAACTTGTGTACGGATACGGGGAACATCCAACATCTCAGCCCACTTAGTATCTGCTCCACTCTGTTTGTTTGCCAGCAAAAAATAGAGCAACATCAGCAGCAGTAACAGCCGCCGCAGCCACTTGGCTGATAAGATTATCACGCCAAGCGGAATTTGTGGAATATGGAAAACAAGCAAAGAAACCAAAAACGAAGCCAAGACCGTGCAAGGTCGCAGTCACGAGCAATGTTCTACACTTTCCCAACATGGAACTGGATTTTCCCAAAAACATTTCATACATTTCACTGTTCCATTCAAAGGTCAGGTCCTAACTTTCCGAGTTTTAAGAAGCCATGATTTTCAAAAGGTTGGTTGTGAGTATGTTATGGGCACTTTAGGTGACTAGTTAATGCCATGATATTGTCTACAAAGTATCTGGATTTGTTTTATGAGTAGGTGATCATTTGCTTGGAGATATCTACCATAATCAATTACGATCTGATCCGCTCAACAGTTGCTGCCCAACGTCGCGACAGCAGCTGGGGAGCTCTGTACGCTGTGGGCCGCCTGAGCAGCCTCCAAGCTTCCGGCCGCCGGCGCGGAGGTGGCGGAGGAGGGCGAAGTTATCGTCGAGGAGTCGTCGGCGGCGGAAAGCACGCTGTTGTCGCCGTAGAAGCGCGGTTCATCGTGCGATTCACCGCCCGGGGAGGCCGTCTCCTCGTCCGAATCCTCGTCGTTGGAGCTGTCGCCGGCCGTTGTGTTGAGCTTGTTGCCGGAGGCACCACCGGTAGCTGCCGTATCCTCGCCGACACCCAGGGAAGTGGGCACATGCTTCAAGCGCTCATAACAAGCGTCACAGACGCGCAGCGCCTTGGTGCTCTGCTGTGGCAGCAGGAACTTTTTGGCCGAACAGCCAGCGCAAACAACAGCACCGCAGTTGCGGCAGTGATGCCGGCGCTGGATAAAGGTGAACTGCGTCTTTTTGCAATGCATGCAGATGCTGGCGTCAGTGTCCGGAACCCAAACAGCAGCGTGGTTCTCCACTGGCTTCTTGCCGCTTTTGCGTAGCAGGTCCTCCACACACTTGTTGATGTGGGCCATCCACTCTTGCTTTTCGGTGCTGGTGGCCGCAAACACCACAAAGGACTTGGTAGTGGTGCGGATGTACCAGCCGTTTCTGTACGCCTGGTTATCGGCGATTGACTCCAGGGATACCTCCTCCAGAGGCATTATGTGCTGCTTGTTGTACTTCTTTTTGCCAATCACAATGTTCCCGTACACCAGGATGTCGTTGAATAGGAAGAACTGACGAGACTTTGGCCGCTTGCGGCACATCTTGGTCAGTACGCCTTCGCCCACAAGAACGCGGCCCTGCATCGCCAGCGGCACTCCCGAGCTACCAAAGCAGCTTTCCACGGAGGCAATACGTCGGGTGTTCGCCTCCGAATTGACCAGGCGGTCCACCATTATGAGGGTCGGAGTGGGAGTGGGTTTGAGCTTGGGTTCGAGTTCGGCGAAAGTTGCTGCTCAACTCAATCCGAATCCGAATCGGAATCCGAGTCGAAATGTAGCCAACTGTGACGACAGACTGCCTGCTGCGACTGTGTGCGTGCGCTGTGGCTATGAATGCCTGTGTGTGTGTTTATGTGTGTGGTGTGACACTTGGTGCCACTGCTCCTGAGCGAGTGTGTGTGTGTGAGTTGTGTGCGGGATGGGCGCAGCTGTTGCAAGTCCTGACGAATGGCGAAGGGCGAATCCTGCTGCGGCTCCTGGAGTGCACGTCCGGCTGCTCCCGCTTTATGCAACGCACAATGGTTAACTTTTAACTGGCTTTTTCTACGCCGTCCGAAACGTCATGACTCACTCACACCACAGCAACAAAAACAAACTGGGCTCTCTCTCGTTCTCACTCTCGCCCCTCCGCCGTCGTGTTATTGTTTCACTTGGTTTTCCCGGCCCTCGGCACTGGACAACTTAATAGCTGGGAATGGAACAGAACTTGGATCTTGGATACCGTTTGCCGCTTGGACCTCGGTTTTGATGCAGGAAGGGAACTTTGGGGCCTGGTCAGCAACACTTGGAAATACGTTATTTTGCTAGCGCAGTGTGACCGTGTACGGTTCACAACTAAATACCGATATGCTCAAGTGTTGCAAAACATTGTACTTGAAGGAAATTTCAAACCTAACGGATGATGCTTACAGTGCGCACTCGAAAAACAAAACTTACTAAATTCAATTAATTATCTAAAAGATGGAAATTACTTAATGTAATAATCGGAGAACTGTACGACAACGGATGGTAGATAAATATTTATTACATTAAAAGGAACAAACCGTTCAGAATAAATGATATAAAAACATGTAACGCTATTATGACAATAATTGACAATTATAATAAGGAAAGGAATCCGAATGTTGTGCACAACCATCTACGTACCGCGAATTTCGAATCTGACTATATGTTGTTTAAAAAAGCAAGGAAATACTATGGTATCTCGAATCACAAAAAACTAATTGATATTATGACTACTCTTTACCTCCTTCTTCTTTTGGTCCAGGCTGACTTGTACAGCGGCGTCGAATTCACGGCGGTCACGCACGCGCTGCTCGCTGCGCAGGTGGAAGGGTTTGGAGCGGGAGGCCGCGGGTCGCTCCTGGTCCTGGCGACGGCGCTCCATGTTGTTTGTCTGACAGTGCTTAAGTGTTTCGGGCGTCCTGGGGATGGTGATCTTGTGGGTGACCACCAGCTCACCCATTCGCTTGTGCATAGCCCTAAAGTTGGGCATGGGTCGGCTATGGAACTGGCGCGCCTTGTTCTCTTCCTCTGACAGTTTACGCATCATCTGCAGTCGTTTGCTTTCGTACACATCTTTGAACTGGTAAGCCTTTGGGGCTGCAGCCGCGGCTGTTCCCTCATGCTCCCGGTGACGTGGGGGCGACCACTGCAGGCGCAGCTTTCCGCCAGCACCAGACACGGGAGAAGGGACACGATCCTGATGAGCCAAGTGCTGGTCGGCTTCTGTCATGTGCTGTTTGTCCTCTGTTATGTGCTTTCCATCCTTCTCCACATCATTGTCCGAGTTAAGAGGAACAATTTGTTGGGTGTAGCTTGTCGGTTTTTGGACATGAGCTGATTTTGGTGCTTGCAGGTCATCATTTGATCGGATTACGTACTCCTCTTTGATTTTTCCAGTATTGCAATTGATCTTGCCTTCGTTCTGCTCCAGATCGATCTTCTGCGGAGTGGGGCAGGACAGTATGTCGTTGGCATTGCTGGAGCGGTTATTGTTCTCATGGATGTGATCTGGTTTTGGTTCCTGGAGCTCCGCCTTCGGATCCTTTGTGGGCTCCTGTTTCGGTTCCCCAGTGTTGAGCTTGATCTCCTGTAATTGATCGTTCTGCCCGCGAGAGATTTTCTGTGGAGTGGGACAGGATAGGAGGAAGTTGACATTGCTGAAGCGGTTGTTGTTCTCTTTGTTGGCCGCTGCTACAGAAATATGAAAAGCGAGAAGTGGTCAGGAAAAGCCGACTGAAAATGGCGCGTTTTCTCAGCTTGGTAGATGGAATGCCTGCGTACTCACCGAAAAAGTTCTGCGAGTGATCCAACTGGTAGTCGCCTACGTTGATGGCGTCCCAGTCGAACTCCGGCTTGTCAAAAGTTGTGTCCAGGTTATCCATAGCGAATATAGTTTCTGCAACCGAACAATTTTTGAACGATTTAAAAAAAAAACAAATCGCAAACTAGAGATGGCCGAACTCGAGATGCGCAAATCGACCTTGGTGTTTTAGAGCACTGCCTTTCTCATGGTATTATCGATAAGTCGGGCAGCGCGCATTTCAAATTATTTTTCAAATTTCGATTTGTAACTGTACCGATTATTAAATAAAAAGTATTTAATGTATAAAATTAACATTATTTCTGAGGTAAAGTGTATACGTTTATTCAAAAAGAATTAATAAGTATTTTAACGGAGTAGTATGTTATTATAGATACATACAAACGATTTTTATCCTGTCGAAGGTCCCCAACAAGCTTTTTTCAAAAGAGAACGTCTTTGATGAGAGCAATGTCGCCCGCGGGAAAATTCCTTCAAATTCCCAATGTTTCATTGGCAGTATATGGAATCCTGAGGGACAGGACACCTGTGTGCACGTGTTCCTACTCAGAAACACCTTGAAATAAAAGCTGGCCGCAAGCTTTGGCTGAAAGTTGTGCTTTAGAGGAACGCCAGTTGGCGGCCAAATCGTGGGATGTTCGTATATAGTCTGTGCTGGGCAGCGCATGGCAACAGGTCGGGCAGCGCAACGCCCGCCTCCGCAGCCACATACTCGCGGAATCGCAATCCTCCGAGTCCTCGTGGACAGTTTGTTTTCGTTTTGGCAGCAAAAGCAAAGTCGGGGGAACTCCCGGGCCGACGAATTTTGCGCGCTAAAAATAACGGTTGCCCGCCAATCAAATCCAGTCCTGTCAACTAACTTAAACATAATCCTTCATCATCCTTGGAGTGCCGAATCGAAAGGAGTCGCCTTGGGCGCCAAAGTCAAAATCAGGCGTTGGAGCAGAAATGCGTTCCGCGCCTTTCTCGCTGACTCTGACTCTGCAATTAGCCAGATCCGGTGAACAGGTGAACGAATCAGGTGGCGTTGTCTATTTTTAAATCCTGCAGCATACACTGGAAACGAATGCGGTTGTAGCTAATTACGGCCAGCTTTAATTGAAAACTGTCCTTGCCCAAGAAGTGCATCAGACTGCACTGAAGGGACGGAAGTAAGGAAGGATGGTGGCCTTGAAAGCAGACCTTGTGGTTTGGCCCTAATTGCCAGGCTCTGTTTTCCCTCCTCCTACATCTCCCACTTTACCACCCTAAAAAGGGAGGCTATTTCCGTTTCCAGGCCCACCTGAGCCCAATAAGATCTTGCGAATCAATAAAGGTTTAAAATTAACCGTCAACAGAGAGTGAGATGGCAATAACTGGAGGCTGTGCGTGCATGCTAATTCGATTTACCCAGCTACCCCTCCCAATCCCCTTTTCATACACTGAAGAGCAGCAAATAACTGTAACTTCTGCGTGCTCTTTCGAGAGGTAGAGATGGCCGGAAACAGGATACAGGAGAGACAGCAGACGGAAGAGAGAGGAAATTAGATTATAAGACATCAGCAAAGGATTCTATTGAGTGCTAGAAAACGGAAGGGAAGGGGGTCTTAGTTATTAGCCAATCACACTTACTAACATAAATGTACTTCGATCTTTGTTGTTCCCTTTTAGCGAAAATAAGGGAAGTGGTAGTAGGAGGAGTACTCCCCGTTGTCTAGCAACCACTATAACCGCAGGCGGACTCCTTAATCCTCTTAGTGGGAGAAGGACGCCAGATTGCATGGATGCTGCATGTTGCTTTCTAGCCACCCATTCCAACTTTCACTCGCGAGCCACTCTTTTGAACATTTGCCGTTAGTCTAATTAGCGTGGGAGGAAGGGGCGGAGCACATTCCTGGGATGCTCTTTGTTTGTTGTTGCGGTGCTTCCACTTTTCTTTTTTAGAGTGCCCTGACATACCGCTGTAACCGCTTTCAGTGGGAATGCTCGAAATGTCGATCGGTTTGTCGGGCATATCATAGCCTTATCTTTTGATGTGAAAATGGGAAATGGGAAGCCCAAGCCCAAAAAATGCGCCCGCAAAAAGGGATTCCCCCACCTAATCTATCGAGCCTATTCAACAAAGCACAAAATTTCGCCAAGAACGAGACAGAAAATCAATAAATCGGGATTTAATGAGTTTCAAATATTTGCCACGGTGCGGGGAGATGTGTGTGTATGGGTGGGCTGAGCGTGTGGGGTCGCATTATTGGGAATGGCTGTGGGTGGGGCCACGCTTATGAAGATGCCTCTTGAGTGCCCCACCTCTGTCCTCCATCCCTGTCACTCTAAGCCCGGGCTTATACAAAGGAAGAGGAAGAGAAGGAAAAGGGGGAGGGTGACAAGGCCGAGGAAGAACCTTCGCTCGGGAAAGCTCCAGGTCCACAGTCCGCTCATTTGATTCCCTGCTTCCAGGCGGACGGGATGCGTCTGCTGTCCTGAACGAATCCGCTGCGAAACACCAGAATGACGGGCGCCAACATCGACTACGACTACCTGCTCAAGTTCCTGGTCCTTGGAGACTCCGGCGTGGGTAAGACTTGCCTCCTCTATCAGTATACGGATGGCCGCTTCCACACTCAATTCATCTCCACTGTGGGCATTGACTTTCGCGAGAAGCGTCTGGTAAGTTAATCTAAACCAAATTTCCGGCTATGGAACTTTTCTAACTGTGATATTTCTAACGGTTCTGTGATATTTATACTTTTTTTTGTTTGGAAATCTTAAATTTAATTTCCTAAATCCTAAATGTATTACAAAAAGGGTAGATTATATAAAGTTACTACTATGAGAAATAGTAGTAAATTTCATTATTTTGAGTTCAAAAATAGTAGTCAAAAAGTACGATCAAGAAATGTCGTTTGTGCCATTACCAAATAACATGACAGATAAAGACTTAGTCTTTGTAAATCCTTATTCCAAAATGATCCAATATTATGACTTTCCCTTTTAAACATCTACTTTCTTGCACCTTGCAGTTGTACAACTCCCGCGGAAGGCGCCACCGCATTCACCTGCAGATCTGGGACACCGCCGGACAGGAGCGCTTCCGGTCGCTGACCACGGCGTTCTACCGCGACGCCATGGGTTTCCTGCTCATCTTCGACTTGACCAGCGAGAAGAGCTTCCTGGAGACGGCCAACTGGCTGTCGCAGCTGCGAACGCATGCCTATTCGGAGGATCCAGACGTGGTCCTCTGCGGCAATAAGTGCGACCTGCTGCAGCTGCGCGTGGTGAGCCGTGACCAGGTGGCGGCCCTCTGTCGACGCTATCGATTGCCCTATATTGAGACGAGCGCTTGCACCGGCGCCAATGTCAAGGAGGCCGTTGAACTTCTAGTGGGCCGCGTCATGGAGCGAATCGAAAACGCGGCCTGCAACCGGGAGTTCTCCCTGCTGCTCACACAGTCGCGCTGCCTGCCGAACATTGCCTATGGGCAACCGGAAGAGCTGCTGCGTCTACACGAACGACGGGAGGAGCCTTCCCCGCGGCGAAACTGCCGCAACTGCTAGGATCTATCCCCATCTCGCCCTTCTTCCTCTTTGTTCCTTGACACTTGTTTCCGAATCTAAGTGTGTTTCGCTGTAAATAAATGTTGATTGTTGAGTGGAAAAGACCCCTGTCGAGGTCTTTTATTACAACTCCTCATTTGGACGATAATGGGACGAGATCGAGATAATTATCCGATTCTTGTGAAACTCAAAAGATTTATAGATAGCAGCTACACACACGATGGTGTCTTGATAGGGACTATCTCACATTCTACTTGAGTAATTCAGTAGATATGTATGTACGGTTTTAAGACATATTTCATTTTTTCAACTTAGGTCCTACGCATAAAAGGAGTACTCATAAATATTCAGTTAAAGTCTACAGCATTACAAGGTAATCCTAAAGTCAGACAGCTTTAGCCACTAGCACAGAGCATAAGGTTAGTAGGAGCAGGAGCAGCTTGGAAGTCATCCCACAGTATTGGGCTCCACTGCGTGCCTCTATCCACTGGCGATAGTACTCCACGTCAACGTAAACGCCTGGCAATCCAGGCTCTGCGCACCCATAACCCCAGGAGACGACACCCACCAGGCGCCCGTCGTGCACCAGTGGACCACCAGAGTCACCTTGACAGGAGTCGGTACCACCCTGCAACCGTCCTGCGCACATCATTCCAGGCAGCAGGCCAGATCTGTAAATCATACGGCAGGTCTGGTGCCGAATGGTGCTCACATTGGCCGTTAAGAGGATATTAGATAGAGAACTCTGGAACAACAGTACGGAACAGTTAGTGGTTTATTGCTGGGACAAAGAAATCAAGCTCACCTGCTCCGTGCGTCCCCAGCCAGCAACCTGGCACACCCTTCCAGGCGGTGTGACCTGACCCGCTAGCTGGATAGGGGCTACGGTGAGGTGGACCACGCCAGAAGTCAGCGGCAGCCCATTGCGTAGGAAGAGAATCCCCACGTCGTCACGCATGCTATCTGGACTGAATGTGTGCATGTAAGCCATAGAGCTCACTGGGGATACGATGGTCCCATTGCGCCGTTCGAAGCGGTTCAGCGTGCCCAAAACGACGACGAACTCGCTGGCCCGCCGAAAGCGCTTCCTCTGGTTGCTGTAGACATTATGCGAATAAGAAGGGAGCGGGCACAAGTCGGGATAGTTACTCACTTGTACAGACAGTGAGCTGCAGTCAGGACTTTTCGAGGTGCGATCAGGGCCCCACCACAGATGTGGCCATTGCCAAAGTTGTTGTCATGCTGAAGAAGGCGAATGGAGACCAGGTGACGCGCCTCATCTACTCTAGCCACGCTCCCATTAATAATGCGCGGCTGTAGATCTTCTTTCAGTCTGAGATTCTCCTTCTCCGCCCTGCAGGAGAGGAGCCATAACAGAAAGCCAATGCAGCCCAGCAACCAGCTCCGAGTCATCGCAGATCAAATGAGAAGAAACCGAGCGCATGAAACTTACTAAAGAACTAGAATCGAGGCCTCGAATCTGGCAGCTGCGGGCCAAGACTAACAATTGGCAATCAACGGCGTCGTTATCAGTTCGATAAGACAAACATAAACATATTAGACTCAGATCACATCCGCACCTCATCACCTGTAACAAGCTTGTTGGGGTCGCAGGCAAGGCAAATGATACGGAAAGATGATCAATCTGATCTCAACATTTAGCATTTTAAAGTTCAAATAATACATTTAATTTAATGTTGATATGTCTTTACACCAGTTTGCTTATAAAAGGGGTGTATAATGATATCTGCTGTTGTATACATTTTTGAGCCTAGATAAAAATGATCGTTTTATGTTAGAAATCTAAAATAGAGTGGATCTTATTGATCTCACTTCAAATTGAATGTGCTATTTAAATACAATTATAAATGGGGACGGAACCGAGTTCGCAGCATAGAACACTGGAGTAGAGTTCGGCTTGTATAAATATGTTTGTATATATTCGATGGTTAGGTCTGTGTTGAACGTTAAAAGACACTTTGGACGGCGTCGATTGCGCAGTCTGAAGGCACGAGATTGCTTGGAATAAACTTAAGCTACGGATTCAAGTGGAATGCATTGAAGCCAGGTAGGTCGGCTCTTATATGTAGCCCTGCAGGCTGCGCGACTGGCTGTGATGGTGACGAGGGGGCTGATAGCCCGGCTCCTGCATCTCCATCTGCATGACCAAGTTCTTTTGCTCGCCACGGGCCTCGTAAGCTTGCCGGGCTTCGCGCTGCAAGATTAGAGCGGCCAGTCCCAGGAGCATAAAAGTGACTACGGCCAGGGCGTAGGACCAGCCCAGCACGTTGAACTTAGGATACATCATCCAGTCGCGGCGGTAAGCGCAGCCTCCGAAGATGCACACGGCCAGAAACATGAACAGAGCTGTCAAAGATCAATAATAATTTTGTAAGAAGGGAGCAGGACAATAGTTCCCTGATTCAGATACGTACAGGATACGGCGGTGCCCAAGAAGGAGAGGCGGACAAGCAGCCACTCGTACTGCAGCACAGGCTTCAGCGGCAGGCGGGTGATGGTCAGAGAAAGCAGACCTAGGACAAAGAACACGATGATGAAGGACATGGTCACGAAGCCTTGCACAGCCATTAGCCAGCCGGGAAGCAAGTACGCACGGATCACGTAGTAGTCCTATTAGTGGGAGAAAATCGTACTAATTGGAAGCCTCAAATAATGGGAATGCGAGGTCTGTGCTTACGTGCGAGAAGATGTTGTGGCAGCCATTGAATTGCTTGTGAAATGGGTAACTGGGGTAAACAAAGTCCTTGAAGCAGTACTGCCAAAGGCCCATGTTCTTGAAGCTGGCCCGCGTCTCTTCGTAAGACTCGATCCAGTACGGCGAGCAGAACGACATCATCAACACGAAGAAGCTTGCGAAGGTGACGATGGCACCGAAGACCACGCCATCTGAGGACGTATTGGATATTAAAGATTTCAATGCAATTCTAGATCAGCCCGCATGTTGGACTGCGTCACTTACTGGTGGCCCGCGGGTAGTCCCCCTTCTCGACCGAATCCGTGGTGTCCTGCGATTGCTGCTTGTTGAGTTCACGCATGCTGCTGTCCTGGTTATTTCGAGAATCGCGGTGGAAGCTGAGAAGTAGTTTTTCTGGAAGTTCGCAGCGTAAACAAATGCAGCTTGCACACACCCAAAAAAAAAAATATAGGTGGGGCTAGAGCTGGCAGAGTTTCGATAGCTTTCGTTTGTTTTTAGACTATCGAGTCACAGATGGTCAATCTAAGTTGTCACATCTCTAGATGACCAGTAATGTTCGAGTGTTTCTTATTAAGTTATTTACTTTATTTAAACTAATTTAATATACAAAAATACGACCACTAAATAGCTCCATCCACCTCGTGGTGTTCTAGATGCTTCATGTAGGCCAAAAAGCAGGTCCAGCACAAGCTGCAGGCGCTGATGAAGGGCACTCGGTTGCGCTCGGGAATTAGTGTAAAGTTGATGGTCGCCACAAGTGGCCATACGGATAAGGCCACCTTAGGAGAAAAGACAGAGTTTAAGTTGGTGGGTAATACTAAAGACACTTTCCATTGGACTCCTAATTCTTAACAAACCTTGTAGGTCGGTAGGAACTTTTTTCCGACTTCAGCCACTGCCTCCTCCACGGTCTTGGACTCCAGCAGGCTCATAATGAAGTAGAAACAGGTCATGGCACCGGGAGTATAAGATATCGTCTCCACCGCCGCCTTGATGACGCCGGTCCTCAGCGACGTTTGTGGCCACATGGCGCTGGAAATCTGCAAAGCACATGAAATGGATCAAAACTGGCATGGAAAAGGTTACCCACCTTGACCCAGCCGTAGAGCGTGGGAGCGACAAAAAGACCGCCGTACATACTGAATCGGAATACGCGCCACCAGTCATAGGTGCCTAAAAAATAAACCTTGGCGGATAAACAGGAAGTCAGGTGCCTGAAAATGTATTGACTCACCCCAGCGCCTGCCCTCCACCGTCTGCTGGATCAAGCTGCCCGTAGGCCAAATCAGGCTGTACGATATCATGCCGCGCATAATCGGATAGCGAGTGACGAGTACCTTGAGGTTTTGCCACAGTAGTGTTGCAGCCATTGGAATCTCTGCCCTGCGGAGTCGCAATCGCGCATTTGGCATATTATTAGCATGGCTAATAGGTCCCACCCGCAACTGCATGGCCAGCTCCACCCAAAACGAACCGCGAATGCGAATGCGGGTCCCCGAGTTCCATAAATTGACCTGTTCTACCAGCGGTTCATACATAAAGCAAGTCGTCATGGCTTCGCGTACAGGGCTCACATTGATATTCCTAACCAGTTTCATCCTTTCAGGAGCTTGCGGGGAGGATGTCAAAATCGTCAACGGCACCGCCGCTGCTCCGGGGGAGTTTCCCTTTATTGTGTCGCTGCGACGCGCGAAAAGTGGCCACCACTCTTGCGGAGCCACATTGCTCAACACAAACTGGGTCATGACCGCCGCCCACTGCGTTCGCAGATCATCGCCGGAGCAACTCAATCTACAGTATGGCAGCCAAATCCTGGCTCGCAACTCCAGTCAACTGGTCCACATTGCAGCGATATTTGTCCATCCAGGCTACGAGCCGGAGAACAAGTACATTAACGACATCGCCTTGCTGCAGCTGGCGCAGCCTGTTACACTCAGCAAATTTGTCCAACCGGTGCGTCTGCCGGAGCCTGGACAAGTCACGCCTGGAAACTCCAGTTCTGTCCTCGCGGGCTGGGGATTGAATGCGGTATGAAAGGTTTTCTTTTCTCGCTAGCACAATAGCTAATTTTCTTTTACTTTCAGACGGGCGGCGTTGTTCAGCAGCAATTGCAGAAGGTCCGATTGCAGGTGTTTAGTGATGAGGAATGCAGCGAACGACATCAAACCCAACTACACGACAGCCAGATCTGTGCGGGTTTGCCCGAAGGCGGAAAGGGACAATGCAGCGGTGACTCTGGTGGACCGTTGCTACTTAATGGATCGGACACCCAGGTTGGAATTGTTTCCTGGAGCATTAAGCCCTGCGCTCGGCCACCGTTTCCAGGCGTTTTTACCGAGGTGTCGGCTTATGTGGATTGGATCGTGGACACAGTAGGCAGCTCCTCGGCTTCGTCTTCACTTTGGGTAGGCGATCTGATCGTGGGACGTTCGCCACCTGGACTGACCAGCTAATGTACTCTAATACCCCAATTAAAATACCGATGTAAATACGCTAATGCTATCTAATTCAACAATTGGCCTAAGGGACGTACAACAGGTAACAAGTATGACAACACTGGAAATTATGTACAGGGGAGGGACGCTGTTTCCGACTGCTCCTCGTGGCGCGTCTTCATGTAAGCCAGAAAGATGGTCCACATTAGGCTGCAAATGCTTACGAACACAACGCGGTTGTGCTCCGGCACTAGCGAGAAATTTATTGTCTGCAGGAATGGCCAGATGCATACGCCGACCTAGATGATTAGTAATGAGATGGCTATGAGCGGAGGGGAGCATTAAGGAGCAGGATAAGCTTTACCTTATAGGTGGGCGCCGCCTTCTCCTTTGTCTCGTCCACAGCCTGTCTAAAGGTCTTCAGCTCTAGTAGGCTCATGCCCATGAAGAAGCTTACGCAGGCAAAAGGTCCATATGACAGCTGTTCCGTGATAGCCTACAAAGGAGTGGATCAACTTGACTCGCTGTAACTGAAGCGCCAGATTGAGTCCAGAGATCTTACCTTAACGATGCCCGTACGCAGATTGGTCTGTGGCCACATGGCGCTGGTTAGCCGCACCCAGCCGTACAGAGTGGGTGCCACGTATAGCGCTCCAAATAAACTGAAGCGTAATGCCCTGGCCCAATCGTAGTCTCCTGTCGATCGTCAGTGGAGGAGTGGTTAAGGATTCAGAGCAGGAGGAGGTTATGAATGCGATGAACGCGAGGTTAATACTTACGCAGTTTACGACCTTCTAGCGCCTGCTGGATCAGGCTGCCCGCAGGCCACATGACTGCGTATGTCAGCGCTCCCTTGGCCATGGGATGCAACTTGCCCTCGCTGACCACACGTCGCCATTGGCCCACCGAGGACTGGAACAGCTTGACGGACTGTGGCACCATCACTTGTGCTGGCCAGAAGGAAGAAGGGAGGAATCACAAACTATTGCTTAACCTAACCCAACAACAACAACACTGGCGACAGCGAAGAGGCATTTCTAGCTATTCGAAGGTCATTATCCGCGAGGGGCGGGGTCAGGAGCTGGCCATGACTAGAATGGAGGGTACTTGCTGCGTTATATGGTATAAGTTGCTATTTGGCTATTCGCTTGCGTCGAACGCTGCACTGAAACTAGCAATTTCTAAATTCGAACATGGCAATCGGGATGCAAAATTATTAGGCTTCGGGGAGCATTTCTTCGCGCCGATCTTGACCCTCAGCCGAGCGAGCGAGATAGGAAAGCAACATGTGCAGTTTTGGCTGTAAAGCACCTGTTAGTAAGAAAAGTACAGCACATGCACCAGGGGCGGGTTTGTATATGTTGTGGAGGGCTTTTAATTATTCTACCGAAAGTACTTCACAAATTATGAAATTCAAAAAGAGAATTCATTTAAATATTATATTATATATAGATATATCTTTATGGAGGGAACTTCAAAACCTAACCGCTGTCAAATATCCTGAATCCGCTCCTGGCCGTCCTCTCACGCAATGCGAATGAGAGTGGGATAGCACGAGAGGAAGCACTTTCACAAGGACTTTATGTAACAGAAGGAGAGGGAAGGGGTATGCTCATTCGTTCATTAAATGAATGGAAAATAACGGCACGTTTTGCTCTCCTCTCTGCAAGTCACTACTCAAACAGATTACGTCGCTTTAAACGAGAGCGTGACAGATCATGTCTGCCATAATCTAATTCGCCGCCTTCGTATTGTTGTTGTTAAGCCGTGAGTAGTTACTAGTTACTTACTTTTGTAGAAGTTTTATTGGGTTGGGGTAACGGGGAAGTGAAACAGTGTTTAACGTTAGTCTAACTTATTGGAATACTAGTTTGTACTGTGGTTACGCACGGCGTCCGCATCTCGCGCCGTTCTCCGTTCGCTGGGCTTCCCTATCGTATCTGACTAGTCTGAAATGTTTTGCTAAAGTCAGCTGTTCGAGATTAGGGTGAGAAGCTTTCTCAGAGCTTTTGGGGTGGACCCTATCCACGCTTTTAGACTCTACATATTTGCAAATAATTCTGACGGATCAAATACACCATAATATAATGCTATACTATTTAATTATCTAATATATGTAAATAAAAATCATGAATACAGGGTTTTCATAAATACGTCTAATAAAACAAAACTACATAATAAATACCATAATAGGCCTCTCTGTCTGTTTGTATTCTATGGATTCAAACCCATAACCGCGCTCTTCTAGAATTTAGATAGAAATCAAGTGTCTTTATATTTTGTTTTTTATTATCAGAAATCTACATTTTTAGGGTTCTAGATTAATAATACATACATTAAAAAATTGCTATGGTTCATAGATAGCCAAGATTTGTGCGCCTTGTTGGTTATTGTTTTTCACTAGAAATGCATTACGTACATTATGTACATCCATATAAATAAATGCGTCGAGATTTAGCAAGTTATACACTGGCCAAACATAATATATGGCGTTGTTTGGTCGGATTGAGATGAGCATATGTGAGTATATGGTTTTAGATGAGTTTACAAAAGTGTGGAAGTTTATGTATAGGTATATACAACATCAGGGGTATAGTCGGTATATTAAAATATTCAAGACTAAAAGTAATCTCAGAAACTTTAAGTCTGAAATCAAAAGATAGACGGAACGTATTAAAAAATTTAAAGTTAAAATACATTTAAATCTCTTCAAGTAATACCTCATTGTTCTCTTGCCTTTTGAAATGAGTTCAAAATGATTATTGCACGGCAGAAATTATTTAAGTAACCACCAAAGACTATTTTTAAAATAAAAAAAGAGGTATTTAAATATAGAAACCTCAACTACTTTAAGACTGTCATATAGTTTGTCACGATTTCATGTATAAGTATTTGCATATTGACTAATGGCAATACCTTCGCTAGGTTTTAACATTTGACAGTCCTTTCGTAGAAGAGTGGTTTATAAAACTAGGCAGTGAGAGATTGTGTACATAGTATGTATCGTTCAGGTGTGATCGTAAAGCCCGTAAAATTCGGGCTGTCCCGAATCTCACGCCCGCCAGCGCGACTTTTGCAGCTCGATTTGGCCTTCTAGTGTCTTGGCCAAATAGATGACCAGCAACTGGATGAGGGCGATGCCCAGGGCATTGCCAGCAATCACATACAGATTATGCTCTGCCCAGACCCTTACGATCTCGATGCAACCGCTTGTCCAAATCCGTTTTCTGGCTTCTGGTACCGGAGTCGCTTGAACGCCGTAGCCACACATGATGTTCACAAGTCCCGAGGATATATCAGTGGCATTGATGCAGCAACTGTAGGGTACTCCACACTTCTCCACCGACGGTGAGCTGCAGTTAAAGTACTCATTTTTGCCTGGAAACAGTTAGTATAAAAGTTATTATTAGAAACAAAAACCTTGGATGAGCTGTAACCAAATGTTACGAAATTTCCTGTGGTTTCTGATAAAACTCTAATAAAATTATGTTGTGCCATATAAAAGATTAGTTGAGAAGCAACTAATTCTGTGGTTTGTTATTTCTCTTTATCAGCAAGTTCCGAAAGATGTATATTTCTTGAATTACTTAAGACCCAGGTTATTTCGTAAGATCTTGTAATGACTCACTCCAATCTTGGTAGCCGGAATTGCTGAGACCACAGCACTTGAACTCCTGTTGAGCAAAGTCGATGAAATTCTGCAAGTCCGGATCATCGCGATAGGAGTGGATGATCTTGTCTGTGAACTGTTTCTCCAGAAAGGTGTTCATGTACTGCGGGCAAACGAAGCAAATGATAGCTGTTGACGGAAAGAGAAAGTTAGTTAGCAATAGCAATAGTTAGCAATCCAATCTAGTTCCAAAAGAGACATGACTCACCGATTGCCATCTCCATAAGGAAGAAGAGCAGCAGACACATGGAGTACGCCTTCAGCAAGAAGGTGTTCTCCCGCAATGCTCCCAAACATCCAGAGAAACTGACCAAAAAGATAACCATGCCGGCGAGAATCATAACCAGGGATATGTTTAGGAATACATCGTAGAAGTTCTCAAGTCGCACAGAACCGTTGGCCTCCTCCCATTTATCCTTGAAGGCATATATACCGATTCCCAAGAGCAAGCCGCCAAATAACCAGAACACGAAGTTCAACAGGAAGATCATGTACTTGACGCACTGGCTCACATATGTGAAATGGTGAGGATGCATTACTTCATGCACCTCGATCCCACTGTAGCCACGCCCCCCGGCCACTCCCCCGCCTCCGACGCCGCCCCCCTGATAACGGTAGTTGCTCATCGTCAGTGTTTATCTGTATCTTTATCTTAATACGTATTCGCCCGATTTCACTTTTAAACCAGTAAGCACTGATGGTCGTTTATTCGCATTTGCAGAGGTGTTTATTATTAGATTTTAATTAATCTCGTTTAATACATTTTAAAACTTATTTAATATTGCACGAAAAGTAAAATGTGTAATTACAAACAATGAAAACAATCGGTTTGGTTTTGGCTATGTTATCGATAGCAGGAAACAGCTGTCTCGGGAAGAAAACACTGGACAACACAACTGTGCAACAAGTTGATCAAAGTGTTTGTTTTTTTCTTGCAAAAATTGGATTAAAAATTAAACTTATATTAATTAAGGTAGATTTTTAAGTATTAAAGGTTTTGATTTTAAAAGTTTTTAGCAATGGTCTTAAAAACTGTCATATCCCTACGAAAACATAAATTTTGTTGGCCTGTGTAATTCTTCCTCTATCGTTTCAAACAACTAAAATTGGAAATAAAAGCCGCTAAATCGTTTCGACACTGACCTTTGAGCCGGTACAACGTCTGGAATCGTGGATGGATCGTAGCGATATATATGAATCAGCCGATAGAGCCCATGCAAATCTTTGGAAGTGGGGACTTCGTAGTAGTGGTCACTATCGGGAATTGGGAATCGATAAGCAATCTGTGCTGATAGTAAGGAATACAAAATATTTAGCTCATTTAATTGGTGGTCGTCGGCTCGGCGAAGCTTTAGTTGCACTTAGTGTTCCACCATGAATTTCCTGCTGCGCTTTATAGTCTTCTGCCTGGATCCTCTGGGACTGGGACGCCGCTTCTTCATCCGTCCGGCCTTGAATCTTGGCTGGAACGTGTATGATCGCGTGCGGAGCAAGGCAGATGAGAAAGTAGGCACGGTGCGGGAACTGGTCCTTCGGCTGGGACTTATCGCCTTCGCCGTAGTGCTAATCATCTGGCTGGCGGTCTTCATGTACGCCGCCTTCTATTACGTCTACATGCCGGCTATATCGCATACACGACCCGTCCACATGCAATTTAAGTAAGTACAGCTTTCAGTGATCCTTTTAGGTTTTACTAGGACAAAGTTCGATATTTTCCGTAAAATATAACCATTTAGGACCTCCAATGCTTACACTGGCTATCTAAATTACAAGGTCCATAAATATAGCCACAATCTTCATATCATTTTACTTGATACAATTGATTACTGCAGCCTAGTAAAACCACTTTATTAATTGATACCATTGTATTCTGCAGAACCTGCTTAGAGACCAGCACGCCCTGCACCTTTCCGCATGCCCACGTCTCGCTGACGAAAAAGCAACAGTTGCTGATGGTTGGTCAGGCTTATAAGGTGATTGTGAACATCGATATGCCGGAATCGCCACAAAATCTGGAACTTGGTATGTTTATGGTGTGCGCCGAGATGAGGGACTACGATTCGTTGCTGAGAGGTCACTCCTGCCGATCTGCAATGATGCGTTATCGATCGCCACTGATTCGCATGATCTCCACATGGGCCTGGAGTCCGCTCTATGTACTTGGCTGGAAGGAGGAATTCCAGCAGGTCCCTGTAGAGATATTTTCACGGTATCTCGAGGAGCGACAGCATCCCATTACGGATGTCTATGTGGAGATACAATCGCAGAAGATTCAGTTTTATACGGTGACTTTGCATATAGTTGCCGATTTTACCGGTCTCCGGTATATCATGTTCAACTGGCCAGTGCTGTCGGCCATAGTGGGTATGTCGGAATATATCTACCGACCGATCCTAAGAATCTCCGCTAATCCTGTTTTTTTATATTCCAGCCATTAGCACCAATCTATTCTTTATACTGGTCATCTTTCTGCTCAGCTGGTACCACTGGTCCGACGCCAGGTGGCTGCACAGCGTGCAAATCAAATACGCCCGGCTCACGAAGTCGCTGGAACCCGGCGTAATCCTCTCCAAAGCGAGCAGCCTGCGGGATGATGATGATCTCGTTGCTTATGGTGATAAGTCCGACATAGCGGACGTGGGCGGAGATACACTTAGCGATGTGGATGCCGATGATTTGGTGTTGGTTAAGAAATCTGGCAGTGGCAAACCGGATTCCCAGGATGCACTGCGAAAGCGTCATTCGAAGAAGACCACTGCGGACCATTAAGAAGAGGAGGGGCTGAGATAAAAGAGGGACCACCATTTACCACCGAAGCTGAGACCACCGCCCATGCGACGCTTGAGCCAAAGACTAAATAGATTATAGGACTAAATTAGTGAGCACAGCTGCCTTGTGAAGCATTCTGACGGATATATCCATTAAGCAGCCCAATTAGTTCAACATTAGTTTATTTAAGTGGTGGATATTTTATATATTTAGAATTTATAGGTGTTTTTGACTTTCTGTTTGACAGGGTCGAGGAACATTTAAGAATAATTCATTCCATTTAAGTTGAGGATGTGTAAATAATCTTTCTTGTAAGCTTTATAACCCAACGAAACGTGTCATAAGTGAACGAATTTGAAGAACATTTTTTGTAAATATTAAACTGTTTCTGTTAAAGTTTAACGAACATTCCAATCTTTTAGGCGTCTGCTTCATCATTGGTCTTTTTTCCCTTTGGTGGTCTGTCTGTATACGCATCAGGATTCTGGAATTCCGGCCGAACTTGCTCTTCCTTATAATCATCGAATAAAAGCATACTGAGTAATTTCACCTGGGAAGTCAGGATGTTGCCCACGTTGATTATCCGTTCACCATGATCTAGATACGCCAACTGTACCTCATATTCCGGTTGATGATCTTCCACTTGAATGCCTCGTCGCTGCCTCTGTTTCATTAACCTCTTCGCATCCATTTCAACTAGTTTTCGATTCACATTCTGTGCTACCGTTCGGTTATGCCGGACGTAATTTCGACGCCAGCATGGCAAATTCTGAATGTAATCAAAGAAGCCCGTATACTCAACGCGCAGGAACTGAAAGAAATTAATCCGATTATCTTTCTGCGAGTCCCTCATGGTCTTGGCGATGGTGAAATAGTCATTTATCACGGACACAAATACATTGATCAGGAGCACGATGATGACAAAGGCCAAAATACCATATAAAAGAATGCCCAACCATATACCGCCGTGAAACAATTCCGAGGGCTTTACTTGAGCGCTGAATCCAAAGGAGAAGCACATGCACATAACCATGCTTTTGAGGAACCTGTTAAAGTTGTCGCTATTATTGCCGTTTATGGTGACGACGGCAAAGCAGAACCCCATCAGGAATATAACGATGGCGATGGCCGTGCTGACCACCGCTGACCAAGCCAGATAGAGGGTCTTCGTGAACAGCTCAAAAATGCTGGAGAATTGCAAGACGCGCCAAAGCCTTAGCGTGGTGATACATATGAGAATGCCAATCCCGACCATGGTAAACTGATGCAAGCGCGATGGCCGCCGAAAGTCAATGAACTCCATCTTACTGGCACCCTCGACCTTCTTCATCATCCTAGCCACTAGGGTCTCTCGAAGAATCACCAGCACCACCACCATTAAATTCACCACGAAGATCAACAGATCTATCTTATTCCAAATAACGCTCAGTGATTTCGGTTCAAACCACAGCTTGACTGCCAACGACTGGGCGAACTGTATAAAGACTACCGCATAGATAAGCAAAGCGAGTAACCCAGTATATGGCAACTGATCCACGTCCTCAAGGAGCTTAGCGCTCTCCACCTTCACATCCGGCACTGTGCCACCAAATGGGGTCTTCTCCAATCGCAAAGTGCAAATACTAAAAAGATTCACGTCCACGTTGTACAGCGTAAAGTCGATGAACACCGCTGAGGTGTTCAGCGTCAGCCAGTGATATTCGGAGAGGTAGTCCAATACCTGAGAGATTTACGTGTAATAAATAGTATCCGGTAACCAAAAATGTACCCACCTTCATACTATTCGCCGCACTTCTGGCCAGCAGACTCACGTAGCCCATGAGCTCCGGGTATTCGTTGAGGTAGCCTTGGTGGTTGAAGTTCATGAGCAGGCCGTCCAGAAACTCGAAGCTCACCGTTACGGGAATCCAGGGTTCGTAGATCCGCCAATATTTTTCAGCATAGTGCAGTCGCCTGTATGGTAATTGCCAATCCGGCATATAATACAATTCTGAGAACTCCGGTGGATCCAAGCCAATTTTCGGATCAACCACTCGCAGCTGTCGCAATCGTATTACTCCCAGGAGGACCGTTTGCTCGGCATGAACCCAACCCGGAGCAGTTCCATCACTCGAATTTGAATTGAAAGCTACCACCATCGTGGATTCAATAAAGTCGTAAAGCTGATTCAGAAAGTACACCTCCTTGAGACCTGTGTAATCCGTGTGGTTATACATAAACAAATCCGTAATAATCCGGGTATTATGATAAATAGTCTCATCCCTATTAATAAGAATCAAACACATCAGACAAAGGAAGTACTGCCCGTAAGTGATGAGATCGTGGCAAATCATCTTGTATTGCTCATTGAGTTTAAAATTCCTGTATTTTGACGTTACTCTTACGTTTATCTTCTGGCTTATTAAACGCTGCTTCAAGAAATCCATACGTGGGTTTCCATATTCCTTATCATCTCGAGGGGGAATATAGTCTTCCGGCGGCCAGAATGTCCGGTCAATGGAAAGGATCACAAACTTGATCGGATCGCCGATTAGGTATTGGAAGAACAAGACTATCACCATGCTGACCAACATTGTCTTAAATTTAACAGTTTCGTGCTTGAATCCAGGTATCAATGCGACCATAACAATGCAGCCGATGATTATTCCGACCGTTATCGCGCACATTGCCCAATGACATTTTCTTACTTTCATGTTTACGAGTTCTTAGAATTTTTCGGGCGTATTACTTATATTTTTAACCCTTATACAAGTTTAGAATTGTTTATTATTGGAGTCATACAAGTAAAGGCCTACTGGAAGTCGACAATGCCCTAAAAATTATTAGCGAAATTATAAAATTCAAAATCAAATTTAAAATATAACGGGTTACCGGTTTATTTTAGTGGATTTTTCAGTTGTTAGTATATCCCGCTGCTGGTCACATTGGTATCAAAGTAAAATAACTATATTAACTCAAATTCTTTATCTGAATTTAAATATCAGTTGAAATAGATCGGTCGCTTGAAAAATAACAGAAACTTATATTTTTTCGAACAGCTGATAAAGCTCGATAGGTTCAGAAAAATAACGCCTCCTAATATCGGATAACAATAATTACCGATACGTTTAGACAGACCGATATCAACGAACGATAGGAGCCGATAAAATAAAAAAAGAAAATAGTTTTATTTAATTTGTTTGCCAGCGAATTACAAAGATGACGAACGCTTAGCGGGATTGTTTGATACATCCAATTAAATCCAATCGAAACGAACGAACGGAGGAGCAGGTGGCCGCCAGTTAGTGGAGCAACGAGGAGCGGGAACGGGAGCTATGACGATGACCGCCTCGGATAAATACACGTACCAGCGGACCGTTTTGTGTCTGGCTCGCGTTCTGGCGGGCATTCAGCCCACTCCCTGGGAGAAGGTACATATCAGAGTGCTCATCCAGTCATCCAGGAAGTTACCTAGCAATCGACTTTTCGCACTGACCTTGAGCCCCGACCATAAAACAGACATGCGTGGGCGCTCAAGGGGCGGTGGTGTGGGGTTGGCCTACTCTCCACACAAATTACCTTGATTCGGCGAAATGGGTTTTAAAAAACAAAATATTTGTGCTACGAAGATATCGTAACAGTGTACGGCTCTATAATCTAATGCTTACCTCAACAGTTGCCCAGTAGCATGGGAATTGTGATGATTCAGAAATGCTTCATAATCAAATAATGGGAAAGCATACCTTAAAACCTGTTAACAATCATTATTTAATAATATTAGACACTTAATACACTTCTACTAATGCAGTAATATGGCTTCTCCCACCCACAGGTGCAAACCCTGTTCCGGTATTGCCCGCAGGAAAATGCCGCCGGAGTGTTTTGCCTAGACACGAGAGCCCAGGATGCCGTGATTGCCCTGGGAATTTACTATTTGGAGGGCGGCTGCCAACATGAGGGACAGATTGTGCCCTATTTGCTGCGCCTGGCCAAGTGCCTGCCCAAGGCCGTGTGGATTGACGATGCCCGAAGCAGCAAAGTTGAACGTAAGTTCTAGGTTATTTGAGATACTTGCAGATTGCGAAGAAAATGTTTTGTTTTCTAGGCATTCGGATTCCTTCGGCGGAGAAGTTTAGCTTCTGCCTGAACACCCTGCTCTCCGATATAGCAGCCAAATGTCCAGATTCCCGCGAGGAGATCATCCTAAATCAAGTGGAAACGCTAAGTGCTCTGGCCAACATTGTAAAATCTAGCAGGGACAGCAGCTCTGCACCGCCTCCAATCATCCTGTGCAAGGCTACGGTGCCGTTGCTCTTTGGCCTGGCCCGATCGATGGGGCGCTATGCCAGCAATGATCCTCCCCTGTTGTGTCGTATTTTTCCACCAGAACTGTTGCCCATTCAAAAAGGAGGTGGCCGCGATGGCACCGGCTCCAGCAGCAGTGCCAGTGGCACTTGCGGTGGATCTTTCAGTAGTAGTGAACGCTTGGCGGCCACGCATCAGTTTCGACCCATAATACCGCGCTCTATGTCTGGCAGTTTGGCGCAGGCCCAAAATCAAGTCCACGATGATGGAAGGCAGCGGTATTCAGGCGGAAAGCACAACAAGCCCTCGCTGCACAGCTACTTTTCGGTGCCGTACGATCCACGGACGCATTTCTTCACGCGCTACGGCTCTAGTTTCAACCAATTCCCTAATATGCGCGTCTGCGAATCGCCTACGAAAGGTGGTCCACGACCCTTGTATCGTGTGCCACCGTTTCCCATCCAGCATCTGCAAACCATATTTGCAGTTTCCAAGAAACTGCTAACAAAGGACACTCTGGAACATCTTGATGAACAGGCCAGCGATATATTCTCGCTGCACCAAATCAAGGGCTATTGCTATAAAAGCTTCTCCGAAATGCTGAACCTGGTTTTGGTTACCTTGCTGAGGGAATTGCTGCAACATCAGGTGGATTTACCGACGCCATTCACCAAGGATGTCCAGGAATTCGTTAAGAGACTTTTCCTCAACGGACAGACGGAGCTGCAGAACAAGCAGCAGGATCAGGAGCGGGAGCGTCGGGAGGAGAACGGCATCGCTGTGGTCAACAAGTACAAGGTCAATGTGATGGCCAATGCGGCGTGTGTCGATCTATTGGTTTGGGCCATTCGCGATGAAACGGGTAAGCGAAGATCCTCTACATGGAACGAATGATCTTGAATTCCAGCTCAACGCTATGGCATTAATGCAAATGCAAGATGGCAATAATAAGTGCAAAACACATCGAAAGAGAGAGAGAGAGAGTGAAGCTAGCTAGGCTGCCAGTTAAAGGGGGATAGTTAGACTATTTAAAGCCTACTAAAGTTATATTCCAAAAGTTTTGGGTGAAAAATTAATATATTTAATGTATTTTCCCAATTATGGATCCTACAAAAAATGATCTTCAGTTAATGATATAATTTTTAATCGGCAGACATTTTGCCCCTCTCTCTTTCTTTAATACATTTTTAGTTATTTCCCTTAATTTCTTTTAGTTTCTTATAGTTTTTTTTTTTAATTTTGTTTTTTTGGTGGCCGGAACCCGGAATATGGTTCAGTTGACGTCGACTATAATGTGCCATCCCTGCAGAATGGCTTGCAATTTTTATTGAAGAAAGGTCAAGAGCAGTGTAATCTGAAATAGTTTTGATTTTTATATCCACAAATCTGATCGTTAAAGGGGGAAACCATATGCAATTTTACTATTCTTATTGGTCTTAGTTTACATTTATTATCAAAATTCGTTTTTAAACAAATTTTCCTATGGAAGTTCATGGTTTCCCATCTTAAATGGACAACTTTACATTTTGATTTTGTGGTTTATTGTTAATTGCCTGACCAACGTTCGCTGCATGCTGCAACATATCCACAACCTCCTCTTTTTGTTCCTTGTTCCCTTGTTTGCAATCTGCCAGATTATCTAATTACAAAGTAATAATTCAAACTTCGAAATCCTACCCAAACAGAGGCGGATAAGCTGTGTGGCCGGCTGTCGCAGAAACTGAACTTGGAGCTGAGCCACAAGATCGTGATGGATCACATGCCGCTGCTGATGGTTTGCCTGGAGGGTCTGGGCAAGCTGGCACACAAGTTTCCCAACATCGCTGGCACCTCAATTTCATATCTGCGTGATTTTCTTGTGGCTCCCAGTCCCATTCTGGGCAAACTCCATGACCATGCCATGCAAACGTTAGCCCAGCAAAAGAAGGAGAAGGAGCTGACGCCATTTAAGATAGCTGTCCAGCACTCGGATTCGCGTACGGCAGTCGTTATCTACGGAGATAATCAGAAACTGCCGGGCAGCGGTACTGGAAGGAGTTGTCATGCTGCTTTCGAGGCTCTGCGCGATGCAGCCATCGAGAATCTATCCATCGCCTTGAGAGCTGCCCACACCCTGGACCAGTTTTGTGTCCCAGCTTTGGTGGCCAACGTATCAAATCGACTATTCACAGCCGAGAAATCCGGCAGGTGAGTAGAAACTTAACTGAAAAGGGATATATAATCTTCTACATTTTCTCATTCTTTTAGTGAATCGCAAGGTGAATGCCACAAATCCAATCTGGTTAGCCTGAACATCATTGTGATGTTGGGTCATGTGGCCGTTGCGCTGAAGGATACCTCGAAGACCACCCAAAACATCTTGCAGTTCTTTATTCAACGTTTTTGTAAGGTGCCCTCGGAACAGAACGCCTTGATAGTGGATCAACTTGGCTGCATGATCATTTCGCAGTGCGAAACCCATGTCTTCGACGAGATCATGAAGATGTTCTCCCGCGTGACAGTGCAATCGGCTTCATTGGCCTATACCTCGGATCCGGAACACAGGAAACAATTCCATCACGTTTCGGATGCGGTGGTGAATGCATTGGGAAATATAGCTGCAAATATTCAAGGCGATGCCGAGATGCTGGACTTGCTGGGCAAGCTGTTGGAGTTGTTTGTGCAGATCGGATTGGATGGCGAGCGCAGCTACGACAATACACCGGGCGCCCAGAAGGCTAGCTCACGTGCTGGTAATCTGGGCATGCTGATACCGGTGATTGCGGTATTGGTGCGCCGCCTGCCACCGATCAAGAATCCCCGACAGCGGCTGCACAAGCTCTTCAAGGACTTCTGGGCCTACTGTGTGGTGATGGGCTTCACAAATGCCCGGCTTTGGCCAGCGGATTGGTATCAGGGTGTCCAGCAGATAGCGGCCAAGTCGCCGCTACTTATCTCACAGACCGCCCACAAATCGGATATGAGGGAACTCAACTACACGCTGGCCATCAAGAGTGATTCGGTGAACGAGCTACGTAGCCAGATCCTGGTGCTTCTGGAGCACTCTTCAGACAATGTGGCCACGGCTATCAACAAGCTGTCATTTGCACAGTGCACCTATCTGCTGAGTGTCTACTGGCTAGAGATGTTGCGCGTAGAGAATGCGGATGAGCCTAGTCTAGAGCCGATCATGAGCTACCTCTGCGATACGGCGCTACAAAGGGACAAGACTGGGATATGGCAGTGTGTCAAATGGTAAGAATACTGGAATTCATGGATATGATAGGCGTTTAAATCATCTATCATTTTCTTGTTAAATATAGCGTTGCCGACCAGGTGTTCGAGAAGTTCCGAAATGTTCTATACGCTCACGACGAGATTCGTGAGAAGGTACTGGAATCACAGGCCACATTATTGCTGGTCTACTTCAACCACATTCACAAACCCATTCAGGTTGTAGCCGATCAGTATCTATCCTTCCTGGTTGACCGATTTCCCCATCTGCTTTGGAACCGCCGGGTACTGTGGTGCATGCTGGACATTCTCCAACTGCTGGCCTACTCCCTAAGCTTGGATCCCAACGAGGAGACGCCCACATTGCGCGTGGTTTCTACGCCCTACACATTGCAATTGATGGACTCGCTGCCGGCGAGAGAGCTGCGTTTAAAAGATTTTGCCGATAGATGTCAGGGTATCGTTAATGAGGCCATGAAGTGGGCACCGAGATCCACGCGGTCGCATCTACAGGAATATCCCAATCAGATACCCACACCGGTCTTGGCACACCACAGTGGATTGGCCCTGGCCTTCGACTCGGTGGTAAGCAGCAGTGCCTTGCACACTGGAACCATGAGTAAGCGACCGAGTTGCGTGAACTCCGATACGCCCAGATTCGTATCGGTTTTATGCCTTAGGAGCAAATATGCCGGAGAGATCAGTGGTCTGTTATCCGTACTTAGTGAGAAGGATAAAGCCGGATTGGCGGATCGACTGGTCAGCGATGTGTGGGAGGCCTGTTCCGAGAAGAGCGATGCCCGGCATCGGGGAGCCCTGTGGCGAGCCACTGCATATCTGATCATCTGCTCGGAGATTGACAGGAAACTACTGCATGCTGTGGCCAGTTCACAGCTGGAATTGTTTACCGAGTCGGCGATGGAGACCGCAGTTGAGTGCTGGCAATGGGTTTTAACTGCAAGGCAGGACCTAGAGCTGTGCTTTATCCAAGAGATGGTCAGCGCCTGGCAGACGACATTCGAGAAACGAATGGGGTTATTTGCCTGGGAAACGGAGGTCACGAATCCACTGGCCGCATACGAAGGCTGCAAGTTAGTCAGCAAGCCCATACTGATAACCCCACATCTGATTTGGCTGCAGTTGCTTTCCGAGATGGTGGACACGGCCAAGTATTGCAACCGTGATAAAGTTGAGATGTTCTGCCTCCTGTTGCATCGTTGTCTTCCCATACTGAAGAGTAGCAAGCAGAACCGCCAGGTTTCCACCGTGGGCTGTCGCTTCAAGTTGCTGCAGTGCGGATTATCGCTTCTCCAGGGTAACACCATACCCAAATCCCTGGCAAGGAATATTCTCCGTGAGCGAATATACTCCAATGCACTGGACTACTTTTGTGGACCACCCACGTGCCCAAATCAAAGCAGGGAGCAACTTCTGGAGGATATTATGATACTGTTGAAATTTTGGCAGACGATGCGCAGCGAAAAGAAGCATCTGGTCACCTCCGAAGTGGGTGACTACGATTTAACAAATGCCTCCGTGAGCTCTACACAAATGCTGGCCGTGAGGAATAACCCAGAGACGGCTTCCCTGATCAGTGGCAGTGGACTAGTCAACGATTACACACGCTCGATGAGTGCCAGCGGCAATGCTGTGGGCATGGGCGTGGGTGCGGCTAGTGGTGGGAGCAGCAGTGGTTGGTATAACACCATTCCACACTCCACGTCCACCTTATCGAAGAGATCGAATCGCTCCAAGCGACTGCAGTATCAGAAGGACTCATACGACAAGGATTACATGAAGAAACGCAATCTGATCCTCGAGCTGCTGGCCGTGGAGCTTGAGTTCCTCATTACGTGGTACAATCCCAATTGTCTGCCCGATCTTATAGTGCCAGGTGAGCCACTGTCTGCCTTAGTAATTGTAAAGTTATTAACTTGTCCCCTTTTCAGGCGAGGAACAGATCACGGAGTGGCGCAACCGGCCGTACAAGCCGAACGTTTGGCGTGACTATGCCCGTCTCGCTTGGTGCTATAACCCAGCACTGGCTGTCTTCCTACCACAGCGGATCAAGAATGCGGAAATCATTGACGAGGAGGTGTCGCGACTGGTCTGCTCCGATCCCATAGCTGTCTGCCACATCCCCGAGGCACTGAAGTACTTGTGCACCACTAAGAACCTGCTACAGGAAAGCCCAGATCTGGTGTATATCTTGTCCTGGTCGCCGGTAACGCCTATCCATGCGCTGGCTTACTTTTCGCGACAATATCCATCGCATCCGCTAACCGCTCAGTATGCTGTGAAGACCCTCTCCTCGTATCCAGCGGAATCGGTGCTGCCCTATATTCCACAATTGGTTCAGGCACTCCGGCATGACACCATGGGTTATGTGGTGGAGTTCATTAAGAATATCTCGCGGAGATCGCAGATTGTGGCCCATCAGTTAATCTGGAACATGCAGACGAACATGTACATGGACGAGGATCAGCAGCACAGGGATCCCAATCTCTACGAGGCTCTCGATCAGTTATCACAAAGTATTATCGCTTCGTTTTCGGGCGCTGCCAAAAGATTCTACGAGAGGGAGTTTGATTTCTTTGGCAAGATAACAGCAGTTTCCGGTGAGATTCGTTCATTTGCCAAGGGCATTGAGCGGAAGAATGCGTGTCTGGCGGCGCTTAGCAGGATCAAGGTACAAGGCGGCTGCTATCTACCTTCCAATCCGGAAGCTATGGTGCTAGATATCGACTACAGCAGCGGGACGCCTATGCAGAGTGCGGCCAAGGCACCGTATTTGGCCAGGTTCCGTGTGTATCGATGCGGTATCACGGAGTTGGAGACGCGCGCCATGGAGGTGTCAAATAATCCGGTAAAGATATTGCTCTTCTATATGTAAAACTTTTCTTAACCTTTTGTAAAAACAGAATTCCCAGGAGGATGCCAAAATGACGCTGGGCGTGGAATCCTGGCAGGCTGCCATTTTCAAGGTCGGCGACGATGTGCGCCAGGATATGCTGGCCCTCCAAGTCATCACCATCTTCAAGAGCATCTTCCAACAAGTGGGACTCGACCTGTTTTTGTTCCCCTACCGCGTTGTGGCCACCGCTCCGGGAGTGAGTTCTCTATTCTGATTGGGTTTCTATGTGGATTTTATAATGGATTTCATCCTTTTACAGTGCGGCGTCATTGAGTGTGTGCCGAATGCTAAGTCGAGGGATCAACTTGGCCGACAAACGGACAGTGGACTGTCGGAGTATTTCCAGCATCAGTATGGCGATGAAAGCTCCAAGGAGTTCCAGGCAGCGCGGGCCAACTTTGTGAAATCCATGGCGGCCTACTCGTTAATTGGTTATCTCCTCCAGATCAAAGATCGCCACAATGGTAACATTATGATAGACAAGGATGGCCACATCATACACATAGGTGAGCGGTAGATTTGTGACTTCCTTATCAGTAAGAGCTGCAAAGAAGGAATCCCCTATTCAAACCCCTTTTTATTGCAGATTTTGGCTTTATGTTTGAGTCATCGCCAGGTGGTAATATCGGCTTTGAGCCCGATATGAAGTTGACCGACGAGATGGTCATGATCATGGGTGGCAAGATGGACTCGCCGGCATTCAAATGGTTCTGTGAGCTGTGCGTCCAGGCTTTCCTCGCTGTTCGCCCTTACCAGGATGCAATCGTATCCCTGGTATCCCTGATGCTGGACACTGGACTGCCATGTTTCCGTGGTCAGACGATAAACCTGCTGAAGCAACGATTCGTGGCCACCAAGAATAACAAGGAGGCAGCCGCCCACATGCTGGCTGTCATCCGAAACTCGTACCAGAACTTCCGCACGCGTACCTACGACATGATCCAGTACTATCAGAACCAGATACCCTACTAAATAACCCCATATACAGGCGCCTCATGTTTGTTGTTGTTGGCCAAAAGACACTTAAAAATACACAAAACTACAAACTTGGAACCTACAAACAGTAAATACCCTTTACCCAATATCCGTACAATTAATGTTTCGTTGGCGCACCCGTATTCGTATTCCTTAACCTTAACCCGTATTTTCTGAGTGTGTGTTTCCTCTAATTTCGCGTACTTATAAGATGTTAAACTTTTTCCAAGATTTTACGACGCATATATATATATACGTTATACAATATTTATAAAAATTAAATCAATTATAGGGCAATATGTTATATAATGGTAAAAAGGTGTTATTTAATGGGACGTGGATGTTCTTTTAGTTGGTTTAATAAATAAATTTATTGGAATTTGTAATTTTCGGAATTCTAGAATTCTTTTCAATTTGTATATTTATTATTATACTTAAAAAACTAAATTAAATCAAAAATATATTTAAATAATTCACTTTGCCATTTCATTTCTAATATTACCTTAATATTAGAATTTTATAGATTTTCAACAGTCGATAATAAATGGTCATCGTCTGCAGTCGATAGCCAAGCAGTGTTGTGCAGCTTACGGATTTCGTAAATTTTAGTATTTTATGTAGTGTATTTATCGATTTTTGGTACTTTTTCATCAAACGGTCACACATTACCGACGTGACTCTACGTATGTTATCGATTTTTTGTGTTTTCTCCGGACGGTCACACTTAACAGTCGGTCAAAAAATATACAGATCTTTTGTTGTAAGTAAAAAAACTAAAAAAGTAAAATAGACGCAATTTACCGAAAAACTACAGCTTAAAAAGCTAAAAACAAGTTCCCAAAAGTAATAAAAAGTGCACAAACATAAGGAGTTTTGCCCCCTGTTCGCCCCACACTTTTTTTTGTGCGAAGCGAGTGTGAAAGGTTCATATATATACATATATACGGAAGCAAGGTGTAGCAAAAGACGAAAAAAAGCAGCAGAGCGTGTTTGTGTGTGTGTTGAGTAAAAGAAAGCAGTCGAAAAAATGAAATGAAACGAAAGAAAATGTCACGAAAAGCAAAAAAAAAAACTGGGAAAGCAAAAAACACAAAAAAACCGAATCTAACATTAATAATTTTTCGAAATAAATGAGCACCGCTCTCTCAACGTGTGCCTGTATGTGTGCGTGTGTGTGTATGTATGTGAGCGTGCGTTCCTATTTTTTTTCACCCCATGCGTGTTTCTTTTTTTTTTGTTGTGTGCGTTTAATTTGCCAAAGGAAATGGTGGAAATTCTTGAGAAATTAATACTGAAAAATGCGATTTATTTTTTGTAGTACATTGCACACACACACACATTGGAAGGCGAGGAAATTGCGTTACACAAGCACACCCGCTGCCAGCGCCGCTGCCCAGAACCTCCGCTGTGGTGAACAAGTGTACGTGTGTGTGCGAGTGTCGCGTGTCTCTCTCTGCGCGTTTGTGTGTGTGTGTGTGTGTGTGCATGTGTGGGTGTGCGTGCTTCAATAATCTAATAAATTTTTTTCGAGTGTTGCAAGCCAGCGAAATAAAATAACAAATGAAACCAAAGTAACAACAAAATAAATAAAGAAATTGTTGCAGAAAGCAAACAAACACACACGCGAAAAACAAAACGAAAACGAACAAAGTTGCGCCTGTACGCCTGCGTCGACGTCGACCGCGCAGCCAGCGCACAGTGGATCTGAATTGCAAGTAAGTGGATCTATAATATACAATCCCCTTTAATTCCATTTTAAAATCTCAATCTAGGTTTGCCTTTCGTTAAGTTTTTGAATAGAAAGTCTATAGGAAAATCCTGGTTTTATTGCATTCCCTTTGAAAATAACTACAGTGCGAACTCGATAGAGTGAATAGTTCCTTAGCTCGGTTTTCAAAATTAATTGGCAAAAAGTAAATCCAACTTTTGCCTGTAAGCTTACAGGAATTCATTAAGATAGAAAGTAACAAATCAAATAAAGAAATACCTTATTATTGTTCCTCTTAGTGCATCCCCACTGTATTTATTTCTGACCCACTATGCTCGAAATGGCGACGTTTCCATAAAATTAACAGTCCGCCGGTCAAAGGAATTTAAATTAAATAAGACGAAATTGGTGCGAAAACTCTTTGTGTGCCGCGTTGCGTCTCATTGTTGTTGCCTTATGGCTGCTTCTATCGGGTTCTATATATTGTATATCATTTGGACTGCAAAGTGCAACGTTTGCACCGAAAGTGACATTGAAAATGACGACAGCAGCAAATAAACACTAAGCCACACACACACACACATGCGTGACTTAGGACTTGAAGTTTTTCTAGTCCAATGTTCGTTGTTTTTTTTTTTTGTTCGCCTTTTGCTTTTTGCTTTTCAGGAGGTGGCGATTATGAATGGGCGGGCTTAGTAATAAATACAGTAAATATCGGTTAAGAACAACGATATCTTTTTGCTTATTTGAAAAAGATAAATAACTGGCAATGGTTTTCTTTAAAAATCTAAGAAATAAACTAAGAAAATTTACATTTACTTTCAAAGTTAAAAAAAAAAACCGAAAACATCAATTAATTTTTCATTCAATCTTCTAACTTTTGGGACATTGAAAGAACTTGACATTTTACTTTTTAACACTTTCCATTTTAATGGTCCGTTCCGCCCACTCCCTTGTTACCTTCTTGATTTTTGATGTGTGGTTTTTGGGGTTTTCCTGTAGAGGAAATGCCTTCGCAATAAACGCCAGCCTGCTGGGTGCAAGGGTGGACCTAAGGAAAGCAGAGAGAGAGAGAAAGAGAGTGAGTGTGAAAGAGAGGTAGTGCTGCACGCTATGCGACGGCACGACATCCCCACCTATACACATGCACACCAACGCCCACGAACTTTGCAGGGGCACGCACGCTCATACACGATTTCATGCCAGAGTTGTCAACTTCCTGTGCACGTGCTAGAGTCTCGCCTGGCAACGCCGCCATCCATTTCAAAATAATCCCAAATTTAAAAAAAAAAATGGTTTAAAATAAAAGGTCTGGCCTTTGTGGCACAGCTGTTTTCCTGCCACACAAGGACATTTAGCTTTATATTTGTAAATTTATTAGCAGCAAGGCTCTCTATGTCCTTCTATTTGCATTCGATAATGCACTTCTCTCTCCTTGTAAATGTACTTCATCGCACAATGTAAAGAAGGTTCTGAGAGATTTTGGAGGGGATAATGAAGTGCACTAGTAGTATCCTTCTAGATGGCCTTCTAAAGTGCTCCAAAGTCCCGCTGGAAACACAATACATGTACATATTCGGCAGAGGCGTGTGTGTACGTGATGATGTCCTTCGCCTGCGCGTGACATTCCGATACTTTGTACACAATATGCACGCCGCCAATGTCTTATCGATTATTTCATTCGCCGTTTTTAGGATTGCCTCCTGCTTTGAATGCCTTAAATTTATTACGTTTTTTGATAAGAACACTGGAAATATGCAACCCTAGTCTATACATACTTTTTTATTTGTTTCCAAACTATCAAATATGGTTTTGAATACCTAACTTTATAAGTTTTAATTATTGTAATTTCGTTTAATTTTGCTGTTTTGTTGATTTCAAATATTTAATATGTTAAAATAAGTTTTAAAATTGATCATTCTGTTCTAAAACCATAGAAATTACATATTTTTTGCCTATATAAACTCAGGGCTGACATCATTTTGCAGTCGTTTATCGATTGCATTTGGCATTTCATTCCGGAGTGACAGTGTTGTAAATCGGTGGCAGCAGCACTAGTTGCGTCGCGTCGCAGTCGCTGCGCTGTCGACTTTGACGGCGACATCCTTGCTGCGCTCCTTCCTGTGTCGCCCTCTCGTATCGTACTCTCTTTCTCTGCCACTTTCTTTTGCTCTCTCTCGCTGCTTTCCTAGTTTTCTCTCTCAGTTTTCCTGTGCTTTTCCCCGTTTGGTTCGTCAGTCGAATTCTGCCAGCAGCGGGCTCAAAATCAATGCAAATTTTTCGCGCCGCCGTTTTTCCACGTTTTCCACACAAATTATGTTCGGTTTTTTCCCGAACGCTTTCACTTGCCTTATTTTCAAATATTTATTTTAGTTTCATAAACTCTCGTTTATAGTGGCCAAAATCAGCTGATACTTAACCATTACGTAATTATATGTGTGGGTGTGTGTGTCACGTGCTCTCTCAAGCGAGTGTGTGTGTGTGTGCGCGTGGGTTCTGCAATTTTGCAGTTTTTTTTAAGTTAGCCGGCAGCTGCAAACTTGATTGAAAAAGAGGGAAATTATGCTGGGAAAATTCAGTTTTTTGTTGTTTTTTTTTCATAAGTGTTCGTATGAATTTAAAAACTAATAAACAAATTGCGAAAAAGTGTAAAAAATACTATATAAAAATGGTTTAAAAAAATCAAAAAAGGAGACAGATAACCACTTTAAAAGGTAACTATAGTATAGACTAGCTTTACCTGGCAAATCTATGCGGATATAGCTTTAAAATTCCTTTTGGAAAATCTCTACTGTTTGTTTTAGATATTAGTTAGAGTTTTTTAATGTTAATTAGTTATTATTTTTTATAAAATCATTAACTTTTGGTTCTTTTTTATGGTTACCAGTAAGCTGATCGCAATTTGGGATCCTACAAAGAGGTGTTTAAGTTAATTTATCAACATTTAAGTAATTCTCAAAGCATTTACTAAGAAAAGAGAGTAGACTTATATCTATGAAGCCTGAAACCATTGATTACTGATCACACGGCCCACAGTAACAGCAACAGCAACAAAGGCCTAATAAAAAATTCCCTTCCAGAGTAATCTTTTAACACTTTCCACTATCTACTGATAGAATCGAACTGGAAATGGCTTATGGGTCTTGTTATTGTTTCTCAAATCGTTTCGAAACACCAGAATGAGGTGCAAAAAAGCGAAAGAGATTTAAACTCCCCACCGTGCATACTCGTACAATGGGGACGATAAGATTATGATTCGGTGGTTCTTTGTTGCTTAATTCTATATGGTGAGGGGTATGTATATATCATTACTTGATATTGCTTGCTGGGTTCTCCCATTGATACTTTGTTATAGAGAGGCAATATATAGAAGTGACTAAGAAGTAAGTGAGCTGACGAATTATTACAAACTGAGATAGTCTTTAAGTTCTCTGAATAGTTGTGGAAAATCTACTAAGAGAGAGAAGGTACTTGGGAAAAGCTCTTTAATCTGAAGAACCTACACCCTAAGAACCCACAGGCCAATGCCAATTTCTATGTTTTATTCAAACATTTTTTTGGTTTTTGTCTTTTGGTTTGATGTGTGAGGCGCGTGCATCAATAAATAAAATCAACTAAAAATACGTGTGAAAAGCACGCGAAAATAGCCGGCGTATAGCAAATGGTAAGAGAAAAGCG